TAAAGTTTCCAGATGGCTTAAAAAATAAAAAATTAATATTCCTTTAGCAGAAATTTTTGTAAATCTGTTACCCTCTAAATTCTAATTTAGAATTTTTTTAAAATCCCTAAGTTTTACTCATTTTTGAAAGAATAAAGGCTAAAGAGAACATTTTTAGCCTGGCTTAAATTTTTCAATCATAACTATTCTTTTTTGAGGAGATTCTTCCTTTTTAAAGTAAGTCTCAAGGTATTTTGGAAGCAAGATGCCAGTTTCAGAATTAGAAAGTATTACTGGAACTTTAAATTTAAAGTCAGTACTACTGCTGACCACAATGTACAAAGGAAATTGCATTTATAAATATGTCTCCTTGCAGACATCAGAAAAAAAACTTTTATATGAAAATTAAAAAAATTTTATCGATGTGGGAAAAGCTAATATGCTGAGTGAGATAAAACTTACCTTGCACCAATAGATAAAAAGCTACAAGATTCTGAAGATACCACCCATCCTTCGGTTTCTGAAGACTTTTTCTCTATAAATCACAAGACAATTCAGTTAATGGATTCAAGGAATTTTAAAAGAGGCTACCTATTTCAAGAGAACAGTTAAACACCAAACAGATAAACAAAAAAGCTCACAGAACATCCATTTCTATGACTTTAAGAGCACATGGATCCTCCTTTGACTTGAGCCAAAGATAAAATTAATGATCCCAGGATTCCTTCAAACATTATGATTCCATGGCTCTAATAAGACATCTGATCAGTGAAAAAGAAAATGACTGAAATCATACTACACAAATGAAAAAGCTGGGCAAAGGCTATGAATAGGCAATTCAGACAGGACAAAATAGGGATGGTCCATTAAATATATTAAAAGTAGCTCATCTTCAGAAATACTCAAGGAAATGTATTATTAAAACTAAGTATTTTCTGGGGCCGGCCCCATGGCCGAGTGGTTGAGTTCTCATGCTCTGCTTTGGTGGCCCAGGGTTTTGCTGGTTCAGATCCTGGGCGCTGACGTGGCACCCCTTGTCGGGCCATGCTGAGGCGATGTCCCACATACCACAACTGGAAGGACCCACAGCTAAGATATACAACCATGTGCCACGGGGATTTGGGGAGAAAAAGCAGAAAAAAAAAAGAAGATTGATAACAGTTGTTAGCTCAGGTGCCAATCTTTAAAACTAAGTATTTTCTTTTACCTACTCCCTTCTCACTCCTAAGCTTCCTATACCTAAAGCTTTCAGAGCATGCCAACAGTAGGACAAGGACTTGCAAAAGCATTATGAAATTATAGTCCATCTGAAGTTCATTACCTTTATCATTTATATCAGATATAGGAATAAGACGACCAATGCATAGAGGACGATTTCCATAAGGATCTCGTACTGCATAAATAACATCTCTGTGCATTATAAGCAGGGAGTATGCTGTAGGCGCTTCCTTCATTAAGTTTTTAATCCTGGAATTAATTAAATAATTGAATAAATAATTTCAGTTATAAACACATGCGAGGTAAACTCTCATTTACCAGAGCCTCAAGTTTAGCCTAGTTTTACAATTACCTTGCTACCCAGTCTGGGGTGTCATCTTGTTCCTGAGGTGGGGTATATGCCAGTAACTGGGTAATCATTTCGCTATCAGAACTTGTTGACAGACCAATACCATGGCGCAGAAGCTATTTAGAAGGGAGAAAAGTGTAACTATTAGAGGGTAAGCTCTACCTCACCCCTTGCCCAATAGCCCACCACAATAGAAAGAGATCAGGCATTGTGTGGATGCTCAGTTATGAAAATCCCGAATTCTACAAATGGTATGTATATATAATAATGGAGAACCGCTGCTGGAGGCAATGGGAAGTCTCTGAAGGTTTTCAAGCAGGAAAAAAAGAGGGGCTTCAGGAGGTATATATAGAAAAGCTTTTGAAAACTAACTTTGAAGGAACGTAGACCCACAATGGGGAGGGAGGTGGCAGAGAAGGCATGAGGACTGGGGATTGTGGTTCTAATTTTTTCAGCTACTGACATTCCTGATAAATACAACACACTCCCACAAGAGTGGCACACTACAATGGGGACAGTCAAGCCAGGTTTGTTGGTGATAGTGACGGTGGCTACCCATCCTCACTGATTATCACTGATAGAGTAGAAGAAAGGAATTGATGGTATTGAACCACTAAATGTAGGAGATGTAACAAAAACTGCTTGAGTGCAGTCTAGGATGATTACGAGGTTCAGAGCAAGACTGACCAGGACAAGGGCATCACTACTGACATGCACAGGCTGAGCTTAAACTGATGCTAGAACATTTTCAGTAGGCAGCTAAATGCGTAGAGATGAAGTCTAGCATCTGGGTAAGAGGTTATGTCTAGAAATAATGAGCTAGGCATTGTTTGGAATTGAACTTTCAGTTGTTATCTCTAAGTGGTGAGTTTTTAAGTAATTTTTACTTCCTATTTATACTTTTTTGATTGCCTGAATTAAAAAAAAATTTGTTTTTCATTTAGGAGCAGAAAAGTATATTGATGGTCATTATAATGCCAGACCCTAAGAAAGGCACAGGACAAAGCTCTGGGAAATAACTAAAGCTAGAGTCAAAAATAGGACAAAAAAAAGGGAGGACAATGAGTGGTACAGAAGCATGGGTTTTAGATATTTTCCATCAACCAATTCACAACCTTCTGACTCCTATAACTATTTATCCCATGTGAAATGCCTGGTTCTAGGATGCTAAGTGGATAATAGGTGTTACCATTCCATTACTAAATATCACCTGAGGTTTTTATTTCTGAGGTTACCAAATCAAGATTGAAATCTAATGAAGTGAAGAAACTTGGCATCAACGAATGAATGGCAAGAATAGATAAATAAGAACTTATCAAGAATACAAAGATACTAAGTAGTTTAAAAAAAAAAGGAAGATGAAATGATGTTAGAAGTCAAAGGCACAAATTAACACAGAAAGCTAGAAATAACACGCTATTAACAAAAGAGACTATAAGTAAACTCTCTTTGCCCTTTCCTCAGGCTCTGTTTCCTGTAATTGTTTCCAAATCACTTTTTCTTATATGTATCACCTTTGAGTTTATATTCCATTTTCTTCTTATGCTTTGAACATAGGGACAAAGTTAAAGGGACAGCAAAAATCCATAAACGCTAATTTCTCTGTGCTTCTAGTAGCAACCGTAAATCAATGTTTCTACGTCTCTACTCTAAAGCAGTGTCTCAGAATCACCTTAGTAGCATATTTAAATGACCACTCAGCACCCTCCCACCCCAGATTCTGGGGTAGTATCTTAGAATCTATAGTTGTGACAACTATTCCAGGTATTTCTGATAGAGTTAGATAACAGGTGACGACAATTAGAAAACATTCTTTACAGATTCATTAATTTATCCCAATCATGAGAAAAGCATTAAAAAAAAACTTACCTTTCTCCTTAAGTGAGCAGCATTTATCAATTCGCCATTATGTGCCACAGCTATCTTCCCATGAAGTGTTTCAACAACAAAGGGCTGACAATTTTCTAATTCACAGTTTCCAGTAGTGGCATACCTTGTGTGTCCAATTCCAAGATTTGAAATATATAATTTCTTCAAATTGTCTTCAGTAAAGACGTGATTTACAAGACCCATTCCCTTGCAAAGTGAAAGTAAAAGCTTGTCTTAGAAAAAAATAGACTAGTAGCACTAGTGAGTAGAGGCTTTTCTAGGAATCTGCTCAGGCAATCCCAAATTAGACAATGCATTTCACTTCTCTGTGCTTCAGAATTCTAACCTTAAGGGGGGGAAAAAACCCTAACTTAATTGTAATAACTGTGCAGCATTTAAAAAAAGTTTGTGAGGTGAAATTCACCTAGCATAAAATAAAATTAACCTTTTTAAAGTAAGCAATTTAGTGGCATTTAATACAGTCAACATTGAAATGCTTGTTTTATGAGATATTTTCCATTAAAACATTGAGGAACAGACGTACTAAGAGATAAAATTTGTCAAATGTAATAAACTAAATTATTTGCATTTTAAAAATTCAAAGTATGTTAATTATTCAAATAAACGACCTGTTTGAGTGAGTCAGTCTAGCAAACTATCACTGGAAAAAAAATGCATCCTAATTTGACAAGTGGAAACAGCTGATCCAAAGAGCATTGCTTCTAAATGAAAATTATTTATTCAAATTTCGTTCCCTCATCCTCATACACTAGTTATCATCTGGTTATGGTTATCGTTATAATCAACATTATTTTATGTTCAAATATACCTTGTGTGTTTTGAATGTTGGTACTGAATTCCCATCACTGGTCACAATACCAGCACTCTCCTGACCCCTGTGAATATAAAAAGGTATTACTGTTAAATATACTCCATTGATAAGTTTCTTAATGAACTTTATGAAACATACTTTTCTCCAAAGCATCCATGAACTTAATCTGACAACACATTAAATGCTACTAGTACTAGTGACACTTCTCATGACGATGATGATGTCAATTAGCAACAGCAGCACATGATATTGTCAGAGTTCTAATATGCCAGGCACTGTCCTAAGCATTTACACGAATGCTCTAACTTATTAGGCTTTCACAAAAATCCAACGAAGTAGGTACCATGATTACCATTCTTATTTACAGATGACACTAAAGAAACAAATTAAATAACTTGCCCAATGTCACACAGAGAGCGGTGGCACAGCCGAGATTAGAACTTCTGCTTCTAACCTCCATTCTATGTGACCTCTAATAAGGTTGAGTATGTAAATGACTAAGTAGATATAAACAAAAATCTTGAAATAGCAGGTAAAATGCTTAGTTGTGGGTACTGGAATTATGAATAAAATTTATTTATGATTTTTTTCTTTTTTTTTGTTTTTCTGCACTTTCCAAATTTTCTCCAACGAATACCTATGACTTCTGTTATCAGAAAAAAATAAATGCTGCTTCTTAAAAACCCTAAGCTGATCAGGTACTCTGTATCTTGTTTTCTGCATTAGTATTTTAGGCGACAATACAGAGGAGAAAGCCAAAAGCTAGGCTGGAGGTAGGGTAGCACATGGTAAGACTTAGAGGACCTGCACCACTGTGGAGTATAAACTCAAACGATAAAGGTTTCAACTGCTCAACAATTTTTAATTCTGAACAAGGGTTATAAATACTAGACGTTTATTAACAAATTTTTGTTCCAAAGAACGTATATGAAGGTAGAAATAAAAAGTAAATCTTTACCATATATGTGTGTATGTGTTAATAATTAATACATTGATTTATTTGGTAAAAAAGATCTTTTTCAAAATTACATATTATAATTGTTTAGGCATTTAATTAACAAGAAAAACTATACCACTAAATGGACTTGCAAAGCAAAACTCTAAAAAATTAAAATTGAAATGATTTTAGTAAATTATCACTGCATTAAATACTATGCTGAAAATAGCTTTGCATAATACTATATACCCTATAAGACTGAACAGGGTTTCTTTATTTAGTGAAATAATGTGGTCTTTAAGTCAACCGATGCTAGAAGACTAAGCAATTTATACCAGAGGAAAAAGAAAATTAATGTTAGTTATAAACCTTAGGGCAGAAAGAACCTCAGCCAACCATTTCCAAAACAATTTTTAAAAAATCAACAATCATTTAGTAAACCAGAGTAAATTATGTAAGAAAATAAACAAAAAAAAAACGGTTCTTTCCCTTTTGTCTCAAAGGTAATTTTTCCTTAAAGCTAAAATTAATAACGTTAGGAATCACTCAGGTCCAGGCTTCTTTAATCACAAAGCCTGCTTATTTGGCAGTTTCTCAAGTTACTCCCCTCAAGGCAGCTTGAACCAGTTAAACTAGATCCTTTCAGCTCTCTGGAGCTTATTGACAACCAGCCGTCTGGTTTCCTAGGAAACAAAACCTTGGCTAGAAATAGTGAATCATTTCCAGGTCACTTTCAACATGGAGAGTGGAGCAGGAAAGCACTGGACTCAGGAAGAGGTTAAGGCTTTGCTAAGTGTCTGGGCAGAAAAAAATATACGAAAACAACTCTATGGAACACTGAGAAATAAAGGAATATTTATTTACATTGCTAAAAGGCTACAAGCATTAGGAGTATACAGAGATTGGAAACAGTGCCGGGCAAAGTACAAAAATCTCAAATATGAATACAGAACAGTTAAACATGCACACAACTCTGGAGACAGCTCTAAAACTATGAAGTTTTTCCACGATTTGGATGCAATCCTGCAGTATGAACCTGCCTCACAGTTAACAGAGGAAGATGCAAATGGCAGGTGCCTAGCAACGCTGAGCCAAAGTACAGCCCCAGAGACCACTGAAGGTAAAAAGAAAAAGTACCGTTCTTTCGTTTTTACCTAACAAACTGTAAGAGTACAGGACTTCTGAGTCCATATGATAAATAAAGCATGAAATACGAAGGTTGAGAAAAACAAGTGACTTCTTATGCTATTTTGCACAAGGTAAAAATTAATTTACAAAGGGTTAAATACCACCACTTTTAAAATCTGTAAAATACAGAAAAAGCACACTAAAATGACACTTACTGCTAGTGCCAACTGCTCCTTACGCATGTCTGATATGTTTTTGGAAAATGGACTGGGTTCTGAAAATATTTTAGGTTTTAATTTTATAAGAGTGGCAAAAAAAAAAAAATATATATATATATATATATATATGTGTCACTCAACTGTTGTTTTCCCACAGTTCCAAAAAAGACAGAACTTTCTGCTCTGTATTAATGTTGCCATTTTCCTAAGTTTATAAATAAAAGTGCTAAAATACTAAGAACTGATAACTTCTTCACTACCTGTTTGGAAGAAGAGCTCCATTTTAACTGTAAGTAAAACAAAAACAGATTTGATAGATGCAATGACAGATGATAAAATAAAGTTCTTGACCTGCTGTGTTGTTAAGCCCAACACTACTTATACAGAATTTGCTCACTGTCTGCAGGAGCCGAATGCATCACTAGGCAAAGTGGGGAAACGAATTGTTAGATTTCTCCCATAGCCAAGTCTTACAGATGTTATTTTTAAGAGAAAGTTGTTCAATTCAAAATCTGTAATATCTACTGTCTGTGTACGACATGTGCAAAGCACTGAGCTACATGCATTCAGTGATGTGTAACCTCGCAAAGGACGGAACTATAAATAAACGTTAACACCCAAGAGAAAACAGTACGTAGCATAATAAGGGTGCCAAATGAGAAGGACGTTAAGATGACAGAGATAACAGTGGGGTTAACTTGGGTTATCTGAACTTTGAGTTTAAAGCTCAATAATAAATCATTTGGTAAAAAATCCACCCCACTTACACACTCCCTTTACATTTGTGATATTATACCAAAGTCTGAGAAAGCTTAGCAGTCACTACCAAGTTAAAAAGCAATTACATTATTTTATTTAATTAATCACCCTGCACTCTTCCTTATTTAAATGCTTTAAATACTGATTAATGATAAGTAAGTCACTCAGCTTCTAGAAGGCCTTGATTTTAACCAGAGGTTGGCATAATGAAGATGTGGGTGCTGATAACTCTACTTCTTAACAAGATCTTCTAGCCCTTGCAGGTACCCCCATGGCTCCAAACTCCCCAGTTTCACTCATAAGCAGAGGGCCCATAATTACAACGTAACCACGTATGTTTAAGGTATCTGGAACTCCCAATTCTAAAACCAAACTTTGTTCTCCCATCAAAATTGATCTTCCCACAAATCGCTTCCACTTCAGTATCACTGTATTTCTGATCACTTCAACAGAAATGTTTGAGATATCCTTGACCTTTGGTCAGTCACTAAGTCCTTAAAAAACCTACTGACATGTTTCATAAGTTTTCCCCTCTGCTCCATTCTCATTACCACCATCCTGAACTTCACCATCTACCACAAGGAATATTAAGATAACCCCTTAACTGGTCTCTCTAGTTTCCAGCTCCTTTCCACACATCTTCCACAACACTAGTGGTGGTTGTTTTTTAACTTATTAAAATTATAAAATTACAAGCACATTGGCATTTTGTTTACATTAAAAATAATCTTTAAATTATACCCAGAATTAATCGTAATTTAGGACTAAATGTTACTTTTAATGGCTCCATAACATTTAATTGCGTGCATATACTAGAGTTTAGGTCTTTGACCATCTTATACAAATGATGTGCAATCAATACCTTTGTCTATATTTAACATTATTACTTTGGGATAGACTATCAGAAGTTCAATTACTGGTCAAGGGGGTATGATTACTTTGAAACATAATGCTAACATATCTGCTTTCCAAAAGAATTGTACTTCACTAACAATGAGAATGCTTCTTTTATAGAACCTTGTCATGCAAGACTAACGGATGGGGTAGGAGGGGAAGACACTTTGCTAATTTAATCACTGATGGAGTAGGCTAATTTAATAAATGTCTACAATAGTGTATGCAATCAATAACTTTTTACTTTGTATTTGTTTAATTACTAGTGGTATGGAACATTTTTTCTATAATATTTATTCACTTTTATATGAATTGACTGTTCATGTCAACTGAGGCCTCAGAAATCTGCATGATCTCTTTTGCCTTACGATTTTGCATGATTTTTATTTCACCAACAAAATCCAAAAGGTTTTAATGTAATCAAATAGTTTATTTTCTAAGGCTTAGAAAGCCCTCCCTTCTCCAGGTCTAATTCATTTATAAGGTCTACTGGTTTTTCTATGGTGGAACCAGCAGAATATTAATTAGTGTACGATAAACTAAAAAAGGGGGGAAAAAATGAATGTGCCTTTTCCACTGCGGGATTAACCTCATGCAAGCGGTAAGGATAAAGGATTTGGTCCCCTCTGTTTGGCAGTAGGTAGTCTGGCTGAGCCTTGGCAAAGGACCCAAATACAAACTCCAAGAGGCTTCATGTTGTGGTAATTATAATCATCCTCAACCTCAAAATACCTTTGGCCTACTGCTGCTGAATTACATTTCTTCAGCGACTAAGTTTCCACTCTGTTTTCCTCCTCTTACTTTATACAAATGCATGAGGAGTAATGACTTAAGAGTTTCAGTTTAAAATCTCCAAGGCATGAGGCTCCTGCATACAATTTTGAGATTCACACTGGGAAACTTAAAAATTTCCTGAAGAAGTTGGGTAGAGAGCTTTTCTTTTTCACCCTCATCTGATTGCTCAACTCCAGGCCCTTTTCTATAGACATAAAACTAGGCCCTAAACCAAATGAGAGAACAGCAAACCTTACCTTTCCTTACTGGTCTTATAATCAGGCTCAGATGTTAAATTACCTGGGTATGTCAGTATCTTCCACACTTCTCTCTACAGAGAATTCTTATGTAACTCCCGATTTTTATTTTCCATATTCCCAACTAATTCTCAAACATTTCCTAACTGCAATTTAGCTTCAAATAATTAGGAAGCCTAATTTAAAATTTTTGACGATTACTTTGAGAGTTTTAAATTTATACAATTACGCCACTGGAAAACTTCCCTTATTTTTTACTTTCCTATTTTAATATATGAATCCCTAACATAATCTTTAAGATGATAAACAGCATTTTCTTTATTCTTTAATGGGAATGCCTCCAAATATAAGGTGAATCAAGATTTTAAATGAATGTTTATGTCATTAAAATCACACTGAACATTTGATCTCCTAAAGTAAAATATAATACTTTTTCTGCTACTCAGTAAAACAAAATTGGAAAAACATATATGGAAATAATATAAGATGAATAAATCTTTAATTCAGAAAACTACAAAGAGCAATCAAAATGTTCTTAACCAGTCTAAAACCTCACTGTAATTAGGACTTATCTTCCACTTCACATGCCAACTGAATTGCAAATTCTGTATGTTGGATTCCTTTGAAAGACGTACTTCACTTTTTCCGCAATATCACCCTCCTTTGATTACTTTAAAACATAGACTATGACTCATTTTATGAAAACCTGTATAAAACATCCAAATCATAAAACAAGGAAATCAAGGAGGGACTTCATTTTTGAAGGTTGGCATGGTTCTTTTTTAAAAGACACATTCCCTAGTCCATTTAAACATAACTTAGATTAATGTCTAGAGTTAGTATCTATCAATCAATTAATTACATAAGATACATATAAACTCTTAGTAATTTGACCACGTGTCAAAACAAGATTTTCTGATTATTTCATTACATGACCTCTTTTACACTGCTAGTATCATTTATGAAGTGCCTACTATGTTAAAACGCCTCAATTAAGAAATGTAATTTGAAAACCACAACCATTACAAAATTAGCATAGAATTCTAGTTAGAAGTTCAAAATAAATCATGTCAATGGGATGCAAGAATTAACTTCTCTTTATATACACAAATATTAAAACCATATTATACCACTTTGTTACAAAATGTGTCTGTCACAAATCTATAATCCTTTGTGAATATGATCAAATTCAGCTCAAGCTACTAGCACTATAGGTTACATTAATCCAATTTTTATTTCCTTAGTACTTATTTTTAAAAGGAATTCTGTTTTCTTTCCAGGCAAAATGTCAGTCACATTAGAAGACAAGGAAGACATCTCAGGAAATCCTTTACTTTTGGTTTCTCATGTCAAACCAATGGAACTAGGTATAGTATGATCAGCCAAAAATATAATGAAACTGATCCAATTTCAAATTAGAACATAAAGACTGGTTTCTAATCTGAGAAATGGATGATTTTTTCCTGTTAGAAACACTTAGGATTAATTCATTTCCCCCTTTTTTACCAATCTATACTAAAAAAATCATTTCTAAAACAAATCGTTTCTTTAACAAATTATACATTGCCTGGAAATATTAGCCTTCAAATTTCCAACCTCTATGCTTTTAAGAAATCTGATGACCAAAATTACACATAGTAGCGTATTTATGAGCATATTTATTTAATGAGCATATCACTCAGCATTCTGAGGGGTCTAAGACAAACAGAATTTTACATTTGAAAGTAAATAATATCAAATCCATTATGAGGTCAAGTATGATTTTATTCACCCAATTAAAGTCAACAGAAATCCTCTTTTTGCTTCTAAATTCTTATTGAAGGTTAACCCAAATGAGCAAAAATACGGAAAAGCATTTCAAAACAAAGACATTATATATACCACAAAATAAAAACGACTCTCTGTTTCAGGTAAATGCTACAGAGTGGTTTTTAATAACTTACATTACAGATGCTGGGGTCTGAACTACCTTTTTATTAAACATGAAATCTGAGAAAAACATAAGATAATATGGTTGTTAAAAAAAACAATACATGTCAAGTAATGCTATTACCATAAAATGAGTTGCAAAACTGTGCAAAGACATTCTGCCTAGAAACAAGGCATTACGAAATTTCCGGCACATTTCTTTACATTAAAAGAACCTAATACTTCACTTAAAATGGCATTTGGTCTTTGACCAATGAAATATCCTTTATTGTCACAAGGTATAAGAAGTACCAATTGTTAGAATGTGCCTCTTCCATGCCCTTCATTCATGACTTGGTTCTCAACCCTGACTGTCAACTAGAAGTGCAAGCTGGGGATGAGGGGTGGGGGTGGCAGACCAGGGCACTGGTTTATAAAAGCTCCCCAGAATCTCCCTCTGATAGGTAGCCAACGGAAACCATTAGATAAAGAAATAGAAAAGGAAGGGGATAAATTGCTTGCACCTATCCTATCACAAAAAAATTGTCTAAAATGAACCATTTTCTTATGTAATTATATTGCTTTCTACAAGTAAATAAATCTCAACTTTCGCTATATACTGGCATACACCCCACATACTAAAGGATTGGGATGGAAGAGAAAGAAATGATAGAGAATAAAGATGATCAAAACGTGACTAATTAAAACATAACTTTATTAAAGCCAGTCACTGTCACGATAAGGAACAGATTCAGGTTCTGTACTTCACTTCCCTGTTAAAGAGAAAAGCTAAGCTACAATTTGTTATTCCATCTCCTATGGAGAAAATTACTTTCTTTACTAATATTGCATCCAATTATTTATCTTGTCTGATGTATGTAACCCATGTCTATCTCTTTTCCTCCCCACCTGATACAGGTAACTCTATATCAATAATGGAACCCCCTAACAATCCAACTTTTATTCCAACTGTAGCAAATGAAGGAGGAAAACACTGGACTGTGCCAGAAGTCAGGGCTCTAATAGGCATCTGGTCTGATAAAAGCATACAACAACAACTAGAGGGAACAGTGAGAAATAAAAGGCTATTTGAACAAATTGCTGCCAAGCTTCAGAAATTTGGAATAGAGAGAGACTGGAAGCAGTGCAGAACAAAGTACAAAAACTTAAAACATGAATATAAGACTGTAAGAATGGCTCAAGACCTAGGCACGACTAAGAGTATGAAATTTTTTACTGAGTTGGATGCTATTCTGGGACACAATAAAACAGAAAAATCGCAACAAGAATCCCAAGATAGAGAACAAGCTACAGAATGTGCCAATGTAAAAACAGAAGAGCATCAGACAGGTAGGAAGATGAAGAAAAGTAATCTTAATATTATCTACACCATATAAAAACGTTCAGTAGCATGATAACACAAATACAGTCTGTTAAATAGGTTTCATTAAAAGCTATTCAACAAGCTAATTGCTGGATTATAATGAAACAGATTTAATGTATATTTGATCTCCTCCAGAACATAATAAAAATTGGATTTCCAGGGCGAAGTTTAAAAACAGACCAATTTTAATAAAGTAAAAGTAGAGCTCTACGTGGCAAAGTTAAAACAAATTTTCATACTAACTGTCGTAAAAACTGTGAGTAAACAGAAAAAGGGCATTGAAGAACTTAGAAAAATACAAAACCCATGAGAATGTCTTTGAAGTCTAAGTTCTTCTGCAACACATCATAAAGTTCTTTAAAATGAATTTAACCCAAAGGACTGAGATATGGTATACACAAAGCATGAAATAAACTGGATGACTTCTAGCCCAGGAGTCAGGAAATGCAAGTTCCAATTCAGTCCCTCTGGAACCTTGAATCAACCAAGTATCTCCTGTAGACCTAACACTGTAAAATGGGGAACTGGACAAGATGGTCTTAAAGACCTCTACTCATCGTAATGTTTCTTAGATCTTAATATATGCCTTAATGATGCCGTCTTAATTCTCAGAGTATGAGTGTGTGTCTAGGAGAGAGAGAGAGAGGAAGGAATGATAGAGAGTTAGGATTTGGAAATGGTGAGAAATCCTAAAAAGTTTCACTGGCTGGAAAGAAAAAAAATGGTCTGCCAGAGAACTATATACCTGCCCTATTAAAATTAAAATGTAAAATGACAAGAGATAAAGTAGCCCAAGAGCGGTGGCATGATTATGTTCATACAGCAATTGCTGGAGATGCAGCTGAAGATGACTCTATCAGTTATATGTCAGAACACCCAATTAGAGACTTGTAACACCAGATATCTATAGTGCTATCTAAGATAGCACTATATCACAGATATCTAAAACTAAAAGATGTTTAAGAGTAGGGAATCCAAACTACAGAAAAACAAGCAGCCACAGTATTTAGTATCAAGTTCACTCTAAAAGGCAAAATAATATATTAGAGTTTAAAATGCAATTCTGAAAGTGAATAAAAAACAAAAACGAACCACTATATATCTCATTATGTTCATACAGTCACTGCTGGAGATACGGCTGAAGATAACTTGCTCAGTAATATGTCAGAAGAACTAAGAGAGAAAGATACAAAACGAAGTCCTGGCACAGGTAAAACAATATTCTTTGCTTTTTTGTGTGTGACAAAATATATAGATGTTATTATAAAATGCTGCTACGGACTGAACTGTGTCACCCCACAATTTATATGGTGAAGCCCTAACCCCCATGTGACAATATTTGGAGATGGGGCCTTTAAGAGATGATTATGTTTAGATGAGGTCATGAGGGTGGGGGCCTTCATGATGGGTTTTATAACATAACTATATATAATACTATAATAAGATGTTACAATACCTATGATATTATTGTAAGATGTTATAAAACCATATACAAGAACGTTATAAAATGTGAGGTACTGTTGGATAATACTCATATTCACAAAATACAGAAATGGAAGGTGGAAATTATTAATGAAAGTTATGTTCCCTATGGCTGTTGTTCTCAAAGTGTAACAGCATCAGCATCATCTGGAAACTTATTCAAAATGCAAACTCTAGGGCCCCATCCAGAATCAGAAACTCTGGGGTTGGGGCCCATCAATCTGTCAAGTCCTTTAGGTAATTCTGATACACGCTCCCCTATGGTATAGGGTACTAAGGGGGTGGAAGAGAGCGAGTGCTTCCTATCTGATAGTTTGCCTCTTCTATGCAAACCAAAATTGGGGGTAGGGTGGGGGACCACCAAGGCCCCAAGCAGAAGCCTGGCTGTCACAGACCTTGCACATAAGCCTTTCAGTCCAAAGCTTCATATAGCCTTGGAAAGTGTAAAGATCAAAGATCACTGTTGACTAATAAAACAAGGTAATCAAATTCCCCACATTCTTGGCAAACTTCTTCTGATTTATCAGATATGACTAAAACCTCAATGGGGGCCGGGCCAGCCCATGGTGGAGTGGTTGAGTATGCTGGCTCCGCTTTGGCGACCCAGGGTTTCTCTGGTTCAAATCCTGGGCGTGGACATGGCACTGCTCATTAAGCCATCCTGAGGCGCCGTCCCACATAGCGCAATCAGAGGCCCTCACAGCTAGGATATACAACTATGTACTGGAGGGCTTTGGGGAAGGGAAAAAGAAAAGCTCAGTGGAAGAAAGGAAAGCTGTTAGAACAGTGACAGGTAAAAACGGAGGGAAATTAAGAAGACTAGCTGGACAGGAACACGCAGCTGACTACGGGCATGATGACAATGGGCAAACAAACTGTATGTTCCCAAGGTTTCTGATGGCATCATAGCAATGATTCCTGTCATTAACAGTTAAAATCAGATTGCTATCCTGTGTAATAAGATAGAAAGATTTCCATGAAAAAAATTAAGAGCTTTGGCATTCAGAAGATTTTAGCTTGTTAGTCCTCTGGAAAACTCACTTAACTACAATACCTCAAGATCACTTCTTAAATGTAAAAGGAAAAGATTAAGTAAGATATAAACTGACAGTTTTTTAAAAAAAATTGTTTTGTATGTTTACACGTTAATTTGGAATATATCCAGAAAATATGAAACAGGATATATTTACAGTCCTTCTAGAAATTACGCTACTTTAATTTTTCACATGAAAATAAAAGCAAAGGTAAAACCCACACAGGTTTTATCATATCTAAATACATATGAAAAAAATTTAAACAGGCAGGGATTTTAGGCACACCTGTAATATATACCTATTGATGCATAAATCACCACTCCGCTACTTAGAAAGTTGTTGCATTGAGGTATAAAGATACAGATGTTTATCTTTAGGAAATAAATTCACATCCAATGTTCTTTCTTTAGAAACAAAAACACAATAAAATGATATTTTCATGTAAAAATAGGTACAGGTTACCTCATTTTTATTTTATATATTTTACTGATGAAATATTGTAACTGGAGTTGCTACTGTCCATATTATTAACATTGAAGGAGATAAAACTGATCCCCCCAAAGTAATTTCTTTCCTATCTTAAATGTATCCTATAAGTTTCTTTCTAATTTCAAACAAAAATCCAGCCAGAGCTGTGGACCCCCTGGATTCTGGATAAATAATTAGTTGCCAATTTAGAACTCCTGGAGATTTTGGTCCAGTATAGGTTGTAGAGTGGGTTTAGACACCTGTATTTTTATAGATCATCAAGCACAGCCACAGTTGAAAACCATAGGTAGGTTGTCTTGTGTAGAGAATAAGATCAGCAGAAGGCTGAGGAGAGTAATAACATAAATTCTAATTTGATTCCATTCAGGGGAGAAAAATTAGCTAATTCTACTACATGAACACCTAAAAATGCATGATTAAGGCAATATGAAAGAAGTTAATCACTGGGAAAAATCAGAGAACCCTTAGGCTAGGCCTATTATATTTAGTAAAAAGAAAAGATCTGGGAAAATTGAATAACTACTTCTTTGGATCTAATATAAATTAATTTTTCTCCCCAGTCTGAAGTATAAGCAAAAGAGGATAAAAGGAATCAGAAAGTTAGCAGAGGAGAAAGAATGCCTAAAGAGAAATTAATGTTTGACAATCTTATCAGCTACCTGTCTCTTCTAAGTAGGAGAAACAAAACTGACTTAATTCATCTCCAAATCAGCTGCCATTTATATGAAGTGAAATGCCTCAATATCTTGGTATTCTTGCAGGTCACTGCTTTCTAGTATAGGACAGTCACAGGTAGATGAATTTTGGCTTGGAGGGGTGGAGACACACATACTTAGCACAGAAGTCCTGCAGTAGTACATTATATCCTATTAGAGGAAGTCACTCTTATCTTCAGCCTAAAAATCACAAGTGAAAGACGACACTGTTCTTTTAAGAATAATTGTAGGGGCCAGCACAGTGGCACAGCAGTTAAGTTTGCACATTCCACTTTGGGGGCCTGGGGTTCACCAGTATGGATCCCAGGTGCAGACCTACACACTGCTTGGCAAGCCATGCTGTGGCAGCGTCCCACATATAAAGTAGAGGAAGCACAGGGCCAGTCTTCCTCAGCAAAAAGAGGAGGATTGGTGGCAGATGTTAGCTCAGGGCTAATCTTCCTCAGAAGAAAAAAAAAAAAGAAGAAGAATTGTAAAACTAACTTCTTCCTTTTGGCTGTGATAAAATGTATTTCCAAAATTAAAATTTTCATTATCCCCATAATTTAACAAAAATTAGCAATGTGATGGCCAGCAGAGGGCATTAAAGTATCTATTATTAGTATCTCAGAAGGTATGCTAAGCATCTTGTTTTCTGCAATTAATTTATTTCTTTTAACAGACCAAAAATTGGAAATAATTTTCTTTAAAATGGAATATTTAAACACTTTTGTATATTTTGCATACAATTCAGGTAATCAGTGAAATCATTATGTAAATTAATGTACCTTGGTCATGTGAAACAACACATTGAGAACTTTAAAATTTTAATCCAATAGGAGATCCAGATAAAGACTTGATTGTTAAAATTTCAGAAAACCTAAGAATTATAAACGTAAAAAAAGCTCAGATATATGTAAGCTGATAAATTTAAATATAAGCAACTTGTTAATTATAAAGGCATGACTTTCCTAATTCTTACTGCTTTATATTTTAATAAACTTTTAAGAAGCTGTGACATAACAAAGAATATATCTGACCTTTGTCCCCAGTTCCTGGCATACAGCTTCAAAAACCTTTGAAATTTCCAGTGATAGAAGTGTCTTCTTTATTCTGGGGTGACCCAAGGTGGGCTCCTAGATAGCTTCAGGAAAGGGCTGGTCATGAGAAAAACCAACCTTGTGATTAGAGGGTGGGAGCTTTTGGGCCAGCCCAACCTCCAGCAGTGGAGTGAGTCTGGAGACTGAGTTCAATCATGTGGCCAGTGATATAATTAATCATGCCATAATGAATCACATCAACAAGAACTCTGGTTCAGAGGAGCTTCCTGGTTGGTGAGCACATTGATGTGCTGGAAGGATGATATCTCCTGACTCCACAGGGAGATGGCAAGGAAGCTCTGCATCCGGGACCCTCCCAGACCTTGCCCTATGTGTCTCTTCATTTGGCTGTTCCTGAGTTCTACCTTTCAGAATAAAACTGTAATCCTAAGTATAGCAATTTCCTAAGTTATGAGTCATTCTAGCAAATTATCAAACCTGAAGGAGGGTCATAACACACCTGGAATTTGCAGCCACTCAGCTGGAAGTGTGGCTAGCAGCTGAAGTAAGAGCAGTCTTGTGGAAGATTGAGCCTTTAAAGCTGTGGAGTCTGATGCTAACTCTGGGTAGTTAGTGCCAGAATTAAATTGCAGTACACACAGGTGGGGCAGAAACACAAGAGAAACTAAATGCACCTCCTTCCTTAAAAGATGTTAAATTTAAGGATTCCTCCCCCATATGACATCTTATTTCCTAGGACTAATTACTCAGAATTTCTACATAACACCTAATCTCCATAAATGTTTCTATTTCTCAATATGTACGATATGTACCTTAGCCTAGAACTGATGGCTTTAGTCACAAGTAAAATGTTATAAATTCATATTCTGCTGAAATAAGGTTTGAGCTCAAAGGTTACCTTGGACTTGTACTCTTGAAAAAGTAGCCACTGGGGCAAGGGTAGGAGAAGGGTTTGGGCATGGAAGGTAGTAGGTGTAGCTACAAAATGGCAACCAGAGGGATCCTTATGCTGTTGGAATGGTTGAATATCTTGACCTTGACGATGGAGACATGAACCTTACATAGTGATAAAAACATACACACACTCACAAATGAGTACAAGTGAAACTGGGAAAATCTGAATCAGAATGGTGGACTGTACCAACGTCTATATCCTTGATGTGATCGTATATTATGGTGTTACAAAATGTTACCATTAGAGAAAACTGGGCAAAGTATAAAGGGGATCTCTCTATTATTTCTTACAAATGCAGGTGAATCTACAATTATTCAGCAAAAATTTCAATTAAAAAAATAGCTTACTAGGTAGCCCTATGTGGCTCCAGAGTACTTGTCATTTGAGGTCTTGATATTGCTAAAAGCTAAACTTCATCCCAGTCTCACTGTGCAAATGTCCTTAATAAGAAGATCTGGTCCTATCTTGATATAAATCTCCACATACCTACTGTTGAATATGCTTATGTGCCCCCTAACCACCTTCTGCCTCACTGGTGTATTAACACCAACTATTGTCTAGTTTTACAATAGTCATTACAAGCAACTGCATAGACAACTATATTTAGTAACACAGAATGTTTTTTAAAAAAATAACGTCCCAGTGTATAGGAAAGTACAGCTGAGGTAAAAGAATAATATCATAGCATTTCTATACTTGAACGTAGCAATCCAACATCCGCATATGAGGAGGAGCTTTCGCCAAATTACAAACAGCTGATTTGTAGACATCCTATGCATACATTGGTACATTAGAAAAATCCATGTTATATTTACCAGGCTAAGCACCATTGGTTCCTTAAAATGTTTAACACCTGTCTGCTGTTAATGTCTCAACATGAAATTGCTAAAACCACTTAATGTCTTTTATCTCTTTGTACTGTATTGCAGTGAAGATCATTCTTAGTTATAATGAGGATCAAATGAGCAAACAGATGTAAGAACTCTTTGTCAAGCATTAAAATGTAACAATGAAAGATGTTATCAAATTGGGTCTAAAAGTTCTATCATACTCCCAAATACAGCATACTGCCTTGTGACTTTTAAGGCAGAATACTCCTAAGATTTTGAAGGTGGTGAATACTACAAGGCCATTTTAAAATTTGGTTAGAGATGGCATACGCTCTTGGCTTCAAGGTTACAGTTTTGATGCTGGAATCCAGCCTTACTGGTTTTTAGTTTTGCAGCACAATCTTCAATTACGAAAGTAGATTAGAGTTTTGTAAACAACAAATTTAAATTGCTATTCTCTTTGTTTTCTGACAGAAGAAGATACCATAAGCACTGTCTCAGAAGAGGTGGGCAGCCTCACAGCACCACAAAGTGCCACTGGGTCAGGTATGGGGTCTAAATTGTTGAATTTTATTTATTTTTGCTGAGGAAGATTAGCCCTGAGCTAACATCGGTTGCCAATCTTCCTCATTTTTTGCTTGAGGAAGACTAGCCCTAACCTAACATCTATGCCGAGCTTCCTCCACTTTATATGTGTGGGTTACCACCACAGCATGGCTAATGAGTGGTATAGGTCTGTGCCCAAGATCCAAAACTGTGAACCTAAGCTGCTCAAGTAGAGCATACCGAACTTAACCACTATGCCAGGGGCCCTAAACTGTTAAATTTTAAATGTTAATTTGATATTTAAAGTCTAATATACACCAGTTTAAGTAGTTATAGGGCAGATCTCTATTGTGTATAACCCCAAATGCCCCATACCTGAGCTGGTGGATAAAATATGGTAGAGGAAGAAAGTGTCTATTCCTCCTTCTTACTACAAGAAATTAGTAAACACTGAGGCTCTTCATATTCATAAATATCCAGTGAAGATCACTTATTGATGAAAAGCAGCTAAGTTATTCTAATATTGGGGATAAGTCTGCCTTATAATTTTAAAAATATTTTATTTGAATATGAATGTATGAAAACATTTTTTGACCCTCATTGAAATCACTGTAATGCTCAGTGCTTTACATCAATCCAAGTTGTTTTAAATGAATAACATTCAAATACATGATTTATCTGTAAGTTTGAATAATTGCAAATCATGTTGATTTATAGGTAATCATATTCCTGTAGAAGATGCTAAAAGTCATTTAGAGATTGTAACAGCGAGTGACACAGAGGCTGGAAAACACTGGTGTGACAGTGAGGTCAGAGCGCTTATACACGTATGGTCTGACGAAAAAATTCAGCAAATGCTTGAAGGGGCCACAAGAAACAAAGAAATATTTGAGGAAATTGCCAGAAGACTAACGCAATTAGGAATAGACAGAGACTGGAAACAGTGTCGTACTAAATACAAAAATTTAAAATACGAATATAGAGTTTTACAAAGGAAAAATGGCAACCCTCAAAGAAAAATGAGATTTTATGAAGAAGTTGACTGCATCCTAAGACGACCAACTCTCAGAACTGCCAAATGGAAACATGGTAAGCTTGGAATTGACCTTTTAAAAAAAATTCTATAAACGTTCCTCTTTGCATTTTAATTTAGTGAGAAACTCTTCAGAAATAAAATTCTAACACTATTATATGTTCAAATGACCCCCAGAATTATTATAAAACATGTACCTAAGTTAATAGTTTTAATTTCTTTCCAAACCCTGTACCAAAATACTCCTAATTCTTAAACTCATTCTTCTTTACCTGTCCAGTTGCTTAAATGTTCTTACTTTAGTGTACTTGAATGCTTGAAGACTAATGTATTTTAAATGATGTCATTATGCTTCTTTTCCCATGTTGTTTGTTTTAAGAACTATTTGAAGGTCATACCAAAAACCCAAGAACTTTGAGCATCAAGAGAAAAGCATATGAAGATGGTAAGAGCCTCAGAAATGCCAAGTTTTTCCATGTTGAGAGAAAAGCTTCTGTTGCTTTTACCTGATAAGAGATGTTTATGCCTGTCCTTGAAAATTAGACTAAATATATTGTTTATGAGCTGCGTGAGAGCAAAAAATGCTGAGAAATGATTTCTTTCATAGCTCATTATGAGTGAAAGTAACAGAGTAAATGGAAACTTTCCCAGAGTCAGAAATTTCCGCACAACTATGCATTTATCATGAGCCTTTAAAATTACACTTCACAGTGACTGCTATCAAGACTGGGATACAAAAGGGCAAAAACTCCACAAACCACTAAGTTCTGAATTTTGGTTTTCTTCAAAGGTAGTTAGTAATGGGAATAACATTTTAGTAATTCTACAAATAAGCCAAACTCACAAGCCAACCTAATTACATGAGCAGTAATTCAAAAGGAACCCATTACAGACATCAGAAAAGGTAACGTAACATAGCATAGCAAAGAAAACTGCAGTACAGAAGAAAAAGCAGGGACTAACAACAGAAAACCTGTGTTCTAGTCTCTCTCTGACCCTAATAACACAGAGCAAATCACTCCATCTCTCTGGATCTCTATGAAAATTCAGCTTTAGCATTTAAAGATTTATAATTTATCGAACTGTTTTGAGTAGATACAAACAGCCGAAGAGCTCAACTTTTAACACACCCATACAACCACCACTCAAATAAGACACAAAACATTACCAGCACCCTAGAGGCCTCCCAGTCATGAATCATCTCCCTAGCCTCCCTACAGGTTATCACTATACTCACCTCTATCACCATAGATTAGTTTTGGAATCATACAAGATGTACTTAGTACATATTTTTTAATGTCAAGCTTCTTTCACTCAACATTGTTTGTGAGATTCATCCATGATTTTGCTTGTAGCAGGAGTTTGTTCCTTTTTGTTGCTGTAGAATATTCCATTAGAGGAATATACATCCCCCTAGCCTCTTTATCTGTTCCACTGTTGCACATTTCCATTGCTTCCACATTGGGACTATTATGAATAATGCTGCTATAAAAACTCTTGTGCATGTCTCCCAATAAACATATGCATGCATTTCTGTTGAGTATATACCCAAGAGTGGGATGCAGGGTCATGGGGTATGTGTATATCCAAGTAGTGTTCTAAGCACTTTACATATATTAATGCATTTAACCTCCACCACAACTCTATGAGGTGGGTGCTATCATTATCCCCAGTTTACAGAGGAGGAAATGGAGGCATAGAGAAGTCTGCGCTCTTGAACCAGCTGGCTACACTGCTTCTCTGTGAGGGGCAGGGAACACATTTGCGCTGAGGGTACAGTATTCCCAGTATCTGCCACAGTGCCTTGCATATACATAGTAGGAGCTCAACAAATGTTTTTTGAATAAAGTATTAGAGAATAGCAGGAAACACCCTCTTAACTGCCCCCTCCACCTCCTGCCCAACATCAGCTCAAGTGAGTTGAAAATTTTATTCTCCATTTTTGGACATAAATTGCAAGCCAGAGGAGTTGCTCTACCTTTGCCTTCTCTTAATACCCTCTAGTGGATATACTATTGCAAAGCGAAATTGCTAAGGGTTAACCACATTGAAGTATCATTCCCAACCCAGTAAATTGGTGCGCTGGACCTTTAAACATATAAATCTAGTCCAACAGAGGAGAAAACAGACTCAAAAGTTAGAAGACTTGCCCAAGATCAAACTGATGTTACTAGGAAACTTGGGACTAGATTTCAAGTCTTATGCTAAGGAGCTATTCCCAATACCGACCAAAACGATAAAGTAGTAGTACTCTGAGACACTTTTGGGGATAAATTCTGCTTCAGACTAATGCAAAATGCAAAGTTCTAAATAATACTATAACTGGAAGAATTGAAAACATACGATTTAAGACTGAGAATCATTAAATCACAAAAGTAATTGAATTAAAAGTTTTTCAAAATCAAAGACTGGAACAATTAGCAAAGACAGTTTTAAAATAAGTCACTTCCCCAAACAAGGGGATATAAAGCACTATAGGAATGTGACACATTTGGTCATTATCACTCAGAGATGAAAATCAAAATAAAATTGTCCCCAGTGTTAATTTGGCAACTCAGAGCAAGTTCTCTTACAACCTAGGCTGGGTTCTCCAACAAACTAAATGAAGATAACTGGGAACTAATTCCATAGAGGTTTGTCTGAGTGCATCTGTCTTTCTCACAGTGCCTTTCCAGTGATAACGTTATATACTCTATTTGCAGAACCAGCGTCTGTATCTTTTAAGAAAACTGCTCCTGAGATCATTGCAAACTGGTTTCCTCAAAGCATAACAGAATCCAAAGATTCTACAGAAAGTTTCTGCAGACAGGAGACCCCCTACATGACCCAGCTTCATCAGGTAAATCTCACAAATTTTTAGAAGAGGTGTGAAAATGTTTATCAGTTGTAGTGTTCAATTCCTAACCCAGGAAATTGCCAATTCACTGAAGGGACGGGCATTTTCATTTCCTAACTAAGCAAGCAAAGGCTAACGTTGATTCATGGGATAAATCTATGAAATTTTAATATGTAGTTCTTTTTATGGAATCTTCAAATATGTCCACGTCATTCTAGTCTCCATAAAATGTGACTGTGATTTAAAGATGAAGATTTTTGATCTACAAGAGGGTGTGTGGTTTGTCCAGAACTCTGCAAACCACTGATGTGTTTTCAGGACTGAAAAAGCATTTGGTGATTATATGAAGCTGACACGAACAGGTATGCACACACAGCTTACAGCCAGAGAGGACATTTTCAATGTTAAACTAACATTCTCCCTGACAGAAAGGAGTGCTATAGAATAAATCTGCAAATAGCCAGACGACCACTAAAAAGAAGTACTTCTGGATGAACCCATCTGGATTAAGTATCCAGCGCATGACTATCTAGTAAGCGTTACTCCATTTGTAATACATAATATTCTAACTTTCAGGTATTCTATTACCCTGAGAGTAAGTTTTTTGAGGTCAGATTATGGCTAAGACAAAAAGAGAACCAAATACAGTGCAAAAATGATAGAAATCTTACCTTCTAGATTCCGTGTTATAGGAAGATAACGTATAAGAGATAAATTCCTTTGTCAAAAAGGGAAAAAAAATTGAATCTAGTTGCTGTTGTTTTAAAACTAACCATTCAAAATAAATAAATAAATAAACAAATAAAAATAAAACTAACCATTCAGTGGAGGGGGGAGAGGAGGTAGAGCCTTCTGCAAGAGACCACACACGCCAGTGTACAGGGTATATAACGACTACTGTTTATTGAGCTATCACAACCTATCCAGTTTTGACATTCCTTGACTGAATGCCATATAAAAACATTAGTTCTTAATCTCTGACCCCAACCTACTAGTTTAGAGTAGCAGAAAATTTTATCTTATAGACATAAAGGAGTTTCATTGTTCTTCCATCAGAATCAGTTTCCCAAAGGGTGAAGACTTTTGCTAATTTAAAATTTTCAGTTGGATAGGATTATGGGCTAGAACTGGCCCTCTCGGTGCACCTTAATGATTCTATGCCTACACAATAAAAATCTTAAATAGTTTTCCACTAACACATTTGTTTTCCAGAAGCTACTGGGTTTCTTGCCACTGTTGTTGAGATTATCACAAGGTCAATTTTCAATACCACAGTTTAGCAAAGACTTTTGATCAAATGAGCAGCCTAACAGAACCCATTTAATATTGCTCTATTATCATATAATCACATTTGTCGCTTTTATCTTGTATTATCTAATCTCATAATTCTTTCACATAAAAGCAACTGTAGAAAAGTGCATGTAACTAGGAATCGAGTTGCATTCATTAAAAAAAAAATCAGCCCCTTTTTCTTCAGGCAGAGACTGGGGATGGACTTTCTGAGTTATTTTAGCTAAAAAGTACATAGTTAAGAAAAAAAATTCAAGATCAGGCCATATATTTCCCATAGACCACAAGGCAACTCTAAAGATACCTAGTTTCTGCACACCTCTTCCCATGACAGTATCCAAAATAACTTCTCCTAAGAATGTTAGAAACTAACGTTGCTCTGGACTACTATATAGATTTTAGTTTTTCCTTGGATTATTTATCTAATCCTCTCAAATGTATTTTAAAACAAGATCTCTATCATGGTCAACCCACAGTTATCCAAGATTAGAGTCATTCAAGTTAAAAATATCCTTTTTGATTCATCGCGGATCCTAAATTACTCTCAGTTCTTAGCAAGCAATGAGTACACAAGATGTGAAACTCAAACTCAAGTATTTGGGACCCAGAAAAGAAGCAAAAAGGCTACTTTCAACTTAAGTTTGGTGAGGGAAAGCTAACCATTTGGAATGCATTTAAGCATATTGCTCCCATATTGCCAAAAGGGTTATTGCTAAGTTCCTTAACTGTCCTAGAAGTTGTTGCTACGGTAATGCCTTATCGAAACTTTGTAATACTTTCAGTGGTAATATCAAACCTAGGTTTATATTTCTTAACCCAACTGAACTGTTTACATCAACTTCCAGTTAGGTCAGGTAGCAAGAAATGGCAAGATAACGGAAGCACAGTTATTTTTTAACTCAAAGGGACCTACCAATTTTTCAAAATCAATATGTATCCTGCTATAGAGGAACTACTCCCCTCTCCTTCTTTTAAAAAAGGGAGTTACTTTTTTGGCACTCTTCTTACTACCAACCTTTTCATTCATTATCTAAAACGTTTACCAATGAAATCTTTTGCAGATGCACTATCCCCTGTGATTGGTTTATTATCAGTTAATTTATACAAGATCTTCAATCGGTAGTTCCTTTTGAACACCAACTAGTCCTGTTTCGCTAAGTTACCCTATTTATAACTACACCAAAGCCACAATCTGCTCAACAGTTCTGCCCTCGCAAGCAAACAAAAGCTTGTGCTGTCTGGAGGGTCCGCGCGAAGATCTCAGGGTGCTGTGGGTCCTGGACCAGCAGCCACCCGACACGAGCCGATAAGGAGAGAAGCTCCAGGCTCTGGGAGATTGAAACGAGCAAGCAATCGGGAGCAGCCCGGACCAAGCTAGCCTAAGCGAACCAGAGCCTTACAAATTGGTCAGACTCAAGAGTGCACAAACTGGAGGAGGGCAGAGGGCCCCTAGGGAGCATTAGGCGTTGAGGGGATAGGCTGAAGTCCAGGGAGGCAGGGTGGCCCCCGCGCACGCCTTGGCAACCTGGTCGATGCCACAGGCAAGTACCGGTTCAGGTAGAGAGATCCGGCCTCCCGGCCCTCAAAAGCGCGCGAGGTTGCCAATTCGGGCAGCAGAAAGCGCCTCGGGCAGACAGAGAAGCATACGCGCCGCCACCCCCACGCCTCGCCCGGCTGCTCACCGGTGTTGTAGCCCCACGAGTCCCAGAGTGATCACATGCGGCACATCTAGCTGCGTGGGCCACTCTCCTGAGGCGATGCACCCGAACACGCCACATTCCTCTCGGATCCCCAACTCCTCCAGCTCCATTTTGCCGCCAATAGCACGTGGAAGGACCTGCCGCCGCAAGAGGGATCTAAGTACCAAGCAGCAGCGTCTCCCTCGGCCGGAAAACCCAAGGAGCTCGAGCCCGCAAGAGCTTCCTCCCTCACGGCGGCTCGACCCTCGCTACTGCGGCGGCGCGAGCTTTCCCCAAGTGAGCGTGATTAGCTCGCCTCCTTTTCCCGTCACCCTCTCCCGCCCCTCTCCGGGCGCACCAATGAGGGAGGACCGAGGAAGAGAGTCTGCGGTTGAGGGGCGGAGTCATGATTGGGTGGGGGTGGAGCTAGTCTTCTACCAGAGCCCTACGGGAACTAGTTTTTCTGCACGTGGAAATCTCAGTTACTTTCCAGCACCCAAGGCTGGGGTGGTGAGGACTAGCGGGGTTAACATCATTTCTCTCCCCAAAGATGTAAACTTTGTGTGCTCCTCCCCACACGCTTTCCCCCGGCCCTACTACTTGGTACACTCCAATCTATGACCTGCTCAAGCTGGGGAGAAGGAACCCGGGTCGCGAGCTTCTGTAGAACGGGGAGGGGCTTCCAGTGCGCGCCACATTTCACCTTTCCTGCCACAGCGCCCGCGCGGGCGGGGGGGCGGGTCCGCGCTGCTGCGCTTGCGTGGCGGGAAGCCTTGGGGCCGCGCTCGCTGGCTGCCGGAGACTAAGTTCGTGTGTGGCGGCAGAGAAGCTGTGGGTTCCCCTGCTGCTGTGGTTCTGGCCAGTAGAGCGGTGGGCGCTCTGCGTTACGCGGCCCTCCGGGGGCGTGTTTGTGAGCCGCTCTGACCACTCCTCTTTTCCAGAGTCCTGCCTCCCTTCCTTGCGCGGCCGCGGCTCCGAGCCCTCTCAGGATAATGGCGACCGCTGAGGGTGAGTAACGGGCGTCCCTGCTGTTCACCGCCTTCCGCCCACAGGCCCGGAGCTCGTGGGTCGGCGCGGACGGCCCCAGGCCTGAGGCGGTGCTCGGTGTCCCTGCAGCGGCCCCTCGAGGCCGCGGGGCGGGGGGACACGTGTCCTGCGCTCCGCCGAGAAGCGCGCTGGACAAAGCGCTCCCGGGCCTCCGCGAGCTTTCTAAACGCCCGCACCTGCCTCCGGGGTGTGGAAGAAGAACGAGAAATGGCCAGGGGTTGGAGGGGTGCCTGGAAATGGCGTTAATGATCAGTAGTATTGTAAAACAATCACAGGAACCTCTAGTCTTGACTCTTCAAATCAAAGTGCTTTTCTTGTTAGGTTACTAGTAACCTGCTATTCTACAAAGTTAATAATTGAGCCTTCTAAAAAATCTTCCTATTTTCCGTGCGGACTTTGTGTGTGTTTTTTAAAGTAATCTTTTGGTTCCCTGATGACTTTGGAGAGCTCTAAAACCACTAAGCCAAAAAAGTTTTCCTTCTTCACTTTGCGTTTATGATATTTACTTATTTACGTGATCATTTTGTCCGCGAGTGGGCAGATCCTCGGGAAAGATTGTTTGTGCTGATGAAACGTTGGTTTTTTCCACACACGCACTTTCCAAATTTGTGGTGAACCAAATTGCTGGTGTTGGCCAGTTAGTCCATTCTCTTCCACATAGAAAAATTGAATTTAGGTAAAAGATTATAGACTAAAAAAGATCCAGATGATCACGAGTAGCACCTCCACAAAATCAAGGTGTTGGACCAGAATTTTTCCTGCCTTACCTCTAAACTGGTGGAGTCTGAGTTTTTACTCTCCCACTTTCTTCCATCTTACATGTTCTTCGCAGTTAATCTTTCTGAAATTTCACTTTCATGGTTTCTAAATGGCACTTTCTTGCTCAAAAAATGTTCAATAGCAGCCTAAGTGCTGTTGGAATCCAGCCTGAAGACGCTTTCATTCACCTGCTGCATACTGCTTCTTTCCAACCTCTTCATCTCTAACTTTAGTTTTTCTCTGTTGTGAATCTAAGCATGTTCCAGTTGGGTTAATCCACCAAGTTTACTCTTCTCTGTTTATTTTGCTGTTTGTTCTACAACAGTGCTGCCTAATAGAAATACAATATGAAGCTGTGTGTAACTTTGTTTTCTAGTAGCCACGTTTTAAAAAGTAAAAAGAAACAGGTGAAATGAATTTCAGTATATTTTGTTTAACCTGATATATTCGAAATAGTATCATTTCAACATGTAATCAATATAAAAAGTTGGGATATTTTGCATCCTTTTTTCTCATATTGAAATCCATTGTGTGTTTTACACTTAACTCACATCTCAAATTGGAGTAACCGCATTTTCAAGTGTTTCATGCATGTGGCTAGGGCTACCTTATTGGGCAGCACAGTCCTAGATGTTCTTACCTCTTCTCTGTGCAAGTTCTATACTTTTCAAGACCCTTAACATTTAAATTCTACAAATTATTCTCAGTCTTCATCAATCTCTTCTGAATTCATCTACAAATTTGTAGCAGGCATTTTGGCACTTGTAGTATATGTCTCCTATGATTGTTTCTTATATCTACCCATTAATTGAAATTCCTACCCTATTTATCAACTAGGTAATAAATACTGATTCAGCTAAATTGAGGGGGGGGCGGTAGGTAGAAACTTTCTTTTGCCTTTTATCTAAGCTGGGCAACATTCTTAACTCTTCCCTCTCTTTTATCCTCTGTATTGAATCAGTTCTTAAAACTTTTGCCTTGTAAATATCTTGAGTCTTTTTCCCACTGATTTTTCTTTAGACAAGGACATTTCTTGCCTGGATTGCTGGGATAGCATCCTAACTGCTCTCAGTCTCTGGTTTTCTTCCCCCTCCCCCCCGCCCCCGCCCCTTACTTCATTTTCTACACAATACCCATAATGATCTTTCTAATATAGAAATCTGTCATTTTACTAAAGTGTTCAAAAGTCACATGGCTTTTCATAGGTAGTCTAAACTCAATCAGCATGGCTTATGAGGCCTGAAGGATGAGTATTGAAATGGGAGGTAAAGGAACAGTGTTCCAGGCCTAGGGGAAGAACATGTCAAAAGCTTGGGAGGTGGGATAGAGATTCTCTTACGGAAGTTGGAGTTCTAGAAAGGAAATAGAGAAATCTGAATTTGGAGTGCTAAGCTGGGGCTATATCTTGAAGGGCCTTTTAGACCTTGTCAGTGAGTCAAGCACTTAGAATAGGAGGATGGGAATTCATCCTCTAAATTAGATATGCTGCAGTGGCAACTATTAAACTGAATTGTAACTGGTTTGTTTAATGGTTACCTCCACTATCTGGTGGTCTGACCCCTGCCCAACTCTTCTGTCTTATCTCTTGTCTTTCCTTTCTTCTCCTTAGCTGCTGCCTCTTCCCTGCCCAACAGCACTGTACACACACACAGTGCTCCACCCATACTGAAATTCTGCCATGCGCTTTCACCCCACAGTGGTCTTTTCACCACCACTACCTACCCCTTTCCCTCTTCTGGCTGAATTGTCATCATTCCTCAGATCTCAGCCTAATCCTCACTTTGTTCTATACTTCATTCTCTGATTTCTAGGCTAGGTTAGGTGGCCCTGCTATGAACCTGTGATCCCATAGTCTATGTATTTTTCATGTTATACTTATTATGACGTCTTGTTTAATCTCAGCTTCCCTCAGACTCAGGTCACTTGAGAGCAGGAACTTGGTCTTGTTTACTTGTATATCCCCAGTACCTGGCACATGGACACTAAAAAATGCTGATATTGAGACTGAGTCAGTGTTCTGGGAGCATGAGGGGTGATTTCTCCCCCTTGGAAATTTTAAGTTTTACTTCTGTTATTTCTGATCTTCATCTAAATCAATCTTTCTAATGACCAGCATCTACTTTTCTTTAGGTCTTATGACCTGCATCAAATCAAAATTGTATTCTCTTGTCTTTACTTTCTCACAGTTTCCTACAACTATTAGTGAAGAGAGAGGATTAACGGTAGAGATGGGAAAGCAGGATTATGAAATAAGAAGAGGTGCTTCCAAATGGACTAACTTCAGTGGGTGGAGGTGCCTCCTCTTATACATTAACTCGAAATGTATCTTAATTCTGCTTCAGTTCTCCCGTGAGAGAGGTAGGCTGATAGTGGAAAGAACACAAAATTAGATATCGGAAGACTTAGGATTTTGTCTGGCTCTGCCATTTCCTAACTGCATGACCTCCACCTTTTTGATATAGTTTCCTAGTCTCTATAATTATTTACATAAGCATAATTCTTCATAAAATTATGTGAATCAGATGTGATGATACATGTGAAAATACTTTGTAGAGTAAGACTCTATGCAGATGAGTTAATTTTTACTATTAATCACTCTGTTCACTGCTTCGTCATTCATTCATAATTTAGTCTTCAATATTCAGGAAATTTATTCTTGAAATTTGATGTTTGCATTTTATTTCCACAGTACTGAACATTGGTAAAAAACTCTATGAGGGTAAAACAAAAGAAGTCTATGAATTGTTAGACAGTCCAGGAAAAGTCCTCCTGCAGTCCAAGGACCAGATCACAGCAGGAAATGCAGCCAGAAAGAATCACCTGGAAGGAAAAGCTGCAATCTCAAATAAAATTACCAGTTGTATTTTTCAATTGTTACAGGAAGCAGGTAAGTGGTCTGTAGTCTCTCCCTTCATGGTCTCTCTCACACATACACATTGGTCCTTTTATGGGGAAATGACATTATTTGGATTAAGAACATGTTGATTACCAGTTATATTTTTCAGTTATTACAGGAAGCTGGTAAGTGACTCTCCCCACAACCTCCTGCCTTTCTCACACACACACACACACACACACACAGACACTCATTCACTCACTCACACACTCACACTCTGATCTCTTTCATCAGGGGGTGAGATTTGGATTAACAACATGTTTGGAGATGTTTCACAAGCTAAGCTTATTTAAATCAAGCCAGGAACTCTTGAATTTCACTGTAACAGTTTCCTTGGTTTGGGATTAGTAAGTAGTATCATTTAGTTAGTAAAAAGAAATCTTAATTTGCTGTCTTTGTCTGGCATGTGTATCTTCTCTACAACTTCTCTCTCCTGCAGTCTTCAATTTTGAGGAATTTAACCTACGAAGAAAGCCCGTTCTGGATGTTAGGCAGCTGAATTGAAATTGAGTCCTGTAATTCCATATAATTATTCTTTGCTCTGCCCCTTGGAGATAGTGAAGAATTTCAAATCCCTCTTCCACCTGAAAGCGCTGGAAAGTATTTGAAGACTGCAGCCATACCTTCTCATCCTGCCATTCCACAAGTGAGGGATTTGGACTAGATCAAAGATTTCCAGGAGTTGCCTTCTAACCTAAAACTGAATGAAGACTATTTCTAATAGAGAATTCTATTCAAAACATGAAATTAAGATTAAAACATTATGTGGAGGGCATAAGGAGTAAAAGAAGGGAATTAGGATAAGAAGTTTTTGTAGGGATTCAGTCAGTAGCTGATTGGGGTCTGTAGTGTGTGAAATCTCAACTAGTAGAAGATTTGAGCTCTTTCCCTCTAGCTCTCTCCCTCATTGCTTTGGATCATGCAACCTTTGAAACCTCTGGTTCCTTATCTCTAAAATAAAAGCTTTGTTCCTTATAATTTAGTTCTAATTTTATAATTTAATACTTTTCTATTTACTTCTAATATTCCAGTTGCCCTTTCATTTCTTAGAGTTTCCAGTAAGCATTAGTCTTTCTTAAATTAATTTTTCTTAAGTCCAAAGTGGAATTTAATACTTCTGTTTCCAGTCAAGACAGATGTACCCGTCTTCCACAAAATAACAAGGTAATTCAGGTTAAATCTGTTCTGTCAGTACAGAATGGGTTCTTGAGTAGTTTTGCCCCTTCTAAAGTACCCTGTTTCACATTTTTAAGTTAGTGTGGAAAAATATATATTTAATTGCCAATCTAAATTGTCATCCACATCATAAATCCCTCTATGCATTGAAAGTGACTATATTGCTATAAATTGAAGGACGTCCCACAGTTCCTAAGTAATATGATCCAAAATTTTTATTTCAAGCCTGCCTTGATTGGTGGTTTCCCAATGACTGAGTAGATTTCTAGAGAGAACATCAAACTAATTTTAGGTTCCTTCTGCAGTACAGATAAAGTGATCCCATTTTTGACCTCCCAAGTTATCTCCTTTTCCCCATGTACATTAACATTTTTAAAAGTTGCTTAACCCTATAAATTAACAACAAAAACTAGCTTCTATGTACCCATAGTAATTGTTCATAGCTATGGAGTTATATATATACTTTTAAGTAATGGAAGATAAGTACAGGCCCAAGTTTTTATTTGCTTATTCAATAAGGCACTATACAGTACACTTTCTGGGGTTTAAGGACAAGTGAATCAGGGTGATCCAAGTTGTCTCTGTTTGTTCAGGAGGTTTCCTAGTTTTGAGTCTGAACGTCCTGCTTCTGGGGAGACTGGGAAGTTGGTCACCCTAAATGAAGTTCTCCAACAGTTATCTTTAAAGTACTGTATTTGGCACACTTAACATAGCTAAAACTAACATGGTTCACAGATGTTGAAAAGTGTTTTCCAGGTTTTATATACTGTGAAATAAAGGAAAGCCTAAGTTTTTAAAAAATTCTTCAACAGATTAGTTTTAAAGGACAGATCAGGAGTTCTTTTAAGCCTTACGTAATTTTACTTGCTAGTAGTTAAATGCTATGTCCGGTTCAGCACCAGTGGTCTGTTTAAAACTGCTTTCTTTCTAACCAGGTTATATCCAAATGTAGGTATTTCCAGGAATTAAAATGGAAAGAGCACCAGAATAGAATCAGTAAATCAGAATTCTAGTTTTCTCGTTGTCACTCAAAAGCAAACTGTTAAATACTGTACAAATAATACATACGAGTAATACTGTTTTTCCATGGAAATATTGTACAAGCTGTACCTGAGCTAATGAAATTCATGGATTTGGTCTCAATACTTAAAAATCGAAATTTAACCTTTAAGTGTCAGTTCCCAACCACAGAAACCCACTGTAATTACATTTAGTTGTAATAGTAGTGCTAGGAATAATGGTCCTGCAGCTGCTAAACCACAGATGGGAAACTGGGAGCCTTAATATGTGGGTGGCCCCAGGGATATGTGGGCTGATTAGCTATCATACATGGGCATGCAATTCAGAGTACGAAGTGACATTTACATTTTTTTAGTAATCTTGATAGGAGTTTTGAATTTTGTAGACAACTGAAACAAACGGGGAGTTCTTTTGCTCATCGTATGCAGTCGTGAAATTTGCTTTAATGGTTAGCATGTGTATTAGAATCAATCACTATATCATCTAAACTGAATCTTTTCCGGGAGCAACTTTTTTTTTCTGTATGAGATCATTACCATAAGTTGATTTTGTGGTTTTGGTTCTCTTTGATGTGGGGGGAGGGTTCTCCTCTGAGTAAAAGTAACTATTGTTTATATTTAAACAATAGGTTTGGATACTAGTCTGTCAAGTGTGGTATACAAATGAGCAGATATGACTAATGATTAACAGACTTAAAAAAGAAGGGCTCTTGAGGCCAGGCATGTACTTACCACCTCCAGTTAAGGATTGATGTAAATCACCTGCCTGCACATAAGCCCGATCAGTCATTAAAGGTTAAAATGACCATTTTACTGATAACGTTCTTTCCCAGAATTCCTGTTTGTGCAGCATATCACAATTTATTCTTTTCCCTGTTTTAGTTGAATCTATTAGTCAAACCCAGAGGGAATGCGTAGAAAACAGTACAGATTTTGGAACTAGACAGTGCCTTTCAAGTCCAGGCTCCATTACTGATTGGCAACATGACATAGCTTGTCAAAGTACTTAACTTCTTTGAGCCTCTGCATCCTTCACTGTAAAATGTAAATAATACTACCTCGAAAATTTTATGTGTGGTTAAATGAGATAACATGTAAAACGCTTAGCACGGTGAAAGGTTCCCATAAATGTAGGTTCCCTTTATGTATGAATACATACATAAGATCAAAGATCCCCAGTCCTTCCCTGTTAACAAAAATTGATTTTAGAGGATTAGATTGGGATTGGGGTACTAACATTACATTCTGAAGATGAGCATTATTATGTTAAACCCATACACGTTTCCAAGAGATGTTTTAATTCACATTAATGCTATAGTATTACTTTGTACTGTGATGTAATAACACTTCTAGGAGAGGCAGTATATGTGGTTATGTGGGCAGCCTACAGAGTTCAGAGAGTGTGGGTTAGAAACCCTTCTTTACCTAGTACTAGCTGATAGAACACTGTGCCTCACTGTCCTTACCTGTTTTGTTGGATGAGGATCACACTATCTACCTTATCAGGTGCTATAAGGATTAAACAAAAAGAAAATGAATTTAAAATTCCTGACCTAAAGTAGGTACTGATACTTTTTAAAATTAAATTGTGGTAAACTATACATACATAAAATTTACCATTTTAACCATTTGTAATTCGGTACAATTCAGTGGCAGTACATTCACAATATTGTGCAACCTTCACCACTATCCATTTCCAGAATTTTTTCATCATCCCAGACGGAAACTCTGACCCATTCAACAATAATTCTTCCTTTCCCCTTCTCCCCAGCCCCTGGTAACCTCTATTCTACCTTCTGTCTCTGAATTCCCCTTACTTTAGTACTTCATATAAGTGGGATTGTATAATATTTAGCCTTTATTTTCACTTAGCATAATGTTTTCAAGGTTCATCCATATTGTAGCATGTATCAGAATTTCAGTCTTTTTTATAACTGAATAATAATCCATTATATGTATGTACTACATTTAGTCTATCCACTCATAACAGAGTAAGAGAAGGGAGAGGAAGGACAAATATTTTCTTTGCTCTTGGCCAAATTGGCCGATATGTTCCTGCTGCTACCTGTTGGATGGTTTTTTCAAGGATTCTTTGCTTCAAATATTAAGACAAAAAAGCTGTCTAAAATTTTGGGCTGTATCTGATTGTGATGAGTACCTTGATATTTTACAAGACCCGTATAATACTGAACCATAGAATATGAGAATCCTGCAATCAAATCTCATTTAGAGATAAGTTAGTGCCACTTAGATAGTTAAGTGCCTTGTGCAGAGTTGAGTGTGCAGTGGCAGAAGTAGTACTCCAGCATTTTTTGAATAAATGTTAAAAATCACTGGACCCCAGATCTGATCCAGTGTGTATTTTGCCATACGACATTAAGATGAAATATTCCTGAATATTTTGATAAGCAGTAGAAAGCCATATTAATAATTTCATTTTCCTACTTGCACCTTTTAAAAAAAATTCCATTGATTTTTGATAGTGCCATTTAAAGGTAATGCAATTGGCCAGGTAGGATTTTTATTTGGTAAAGGGTATAGTTTTATTATGCCTCAGATCTACCCTTTTAAATACAACTTTAATGCTTTTTCTTCTTTTTTTTTTTTTAATCTTTTATCATCAATATGTAGGCATCAAAACTGCTTTCACCAGAAAATGTGGGGAGACAGCTTTCATTGCACCTAAGTGTGAGATGATTCCAATTGAATGGGTTTGTAGAAGAATCGCAACTGGTTCTTTTCTCAAAAGAAATCCTGGTGTCAAGGAAGGATATAAGTTTTACCCACCTAAAGTGGAGATGTTTTTCAAGGTAATTATTTTATGCTGTTGTGTCTTACTATAACGTATCAACAAACTTAAAACCACAGTCAAAAGATGTAAACATTATTAAAGCTTTTGTTATTGCAATTGTCATTCGAGAAATAGATGCCAGTATTGTACACTGGCAATGATCATTTGGATTTTTAAAAGAAAACATCTGTGAAAATATACTTATCTTACTTTGGACCAAGATGACTAACAAAATGAATAAATTAAAATTAGCAGTTACTAGGAAGAAAGGAAAAGTAACAATTCAAAAAATTTTGGAATTTATTGTTGAAGAGTTTGAAGTACAGGCTAATATGAGGGATCTTTTATATTTAAATACAGAAAAATTGTATTATCAATGTTTCTTATAAGCAAAAACGTATATGATATGGGATATAAGAATCCGTGGTTCTGAATTTGTATTGGTTTTCTTTATTGAAACAGCTTTTCTCTTTCCATTGTTATGCTCTTAAGCATGGTCCTACTTCAGAAGCAATGTCAGTGTTGCATTTTTAATCAGTGAACTGCACAATTTAAAGCATCATATTATGATTATAATTATGCAAATCAAGACTCCACAAAAGAAAAATTTCATATAAAGTTGGGATACTACTTAGAATAAAATGAAAGTGTTTTATCTTTTTTTACTAATTTCTATGTATGAAGTCTCTTGAATTATCAAATAGTGTCTCTAAAGACTTGTGATGTATAAATTCTTATCAAAAATAAGATTAGGAGGTTATGAAAACTGCATCTGGAAAAGTTTGGTGAACCCAAATATATTTCGACCTCCTCATCTCTATTGACTGATTAAAGAAAAATAAAAATCACAAACTTGTGTTTAAATTAGTTTATATAGAGAGAACAAATTCTTTCAAATACTTTATGACCTAGAATAACTTACTCATCCAAATATTTTGAATTTTAAAGTAGCTATAGAAAACAGAAAAATTAAAAACAATTGTGAATTAAAGGTATTTTAAACAAAAACTAAATCTTTAAAGAAAATATTTCTGATGAATTAATGCTCAAGGAAAAAAGGACTTCAGGTTATCTGAAAAGTTAAAAATTTTTATGTTTAAATTAATTGTACTCTTATACTTTATTCTCAGGATGATGCCAATAATGATCCACAGTGGTCTCAGGAACAGCTAATTGCTGCAAAATTTTGCTTTGCTGGACTTGCTATAGGCCAAACTGAAGTCGATATCATGAGTCATGCAACACAGGCTATTTTTGAAATACTGGAGAAGTCCTGGTTGCCCCTGAACTGTACCCTGGTTGATATGAAGGTACAAGTAAAAGGGAGATTTGAAAGAAAAGATTATAACTGAGAATTGTGTTTAGTAGTATGGTTTTGAAAAACTTTTCTTTGGTGATACTCTGTTTCTAGATTGAATTTGGTGTTGATGTAACCACCAAAGAAATTGTTCTTGCTGATGTTATTGATAATGATTCCTGGAGACTCTGGCCATCAGGAGATCGAAGCCAACAGAAAGACAAACAGGTAAGTAGTGCATTAGATTTTTTTTTATCCTTTGCAAGATCAGGCTGGGATGGAGGAGAAAGGAAAGATGGGAAGAAAAGAAAAGGCAATTACTGTTCCTTAAGATCTGAACCTGAGTTGATTGCTATTTATTTATTTATTTTTTATTTTATTTTTTATTAAGGTTATGAAAGTTAACATCCTTATGAAATTACAGTTGTCCATCATTATTAGTCATGTTGTAGGTACACCACTTCACTGCTGGTGCCCTCCCCCCTCCCCCCTTTCCCCTGGCAACCACCGATCAGTTCTCTTTGTCCATATGTTAACTGCCACCTATGAGTGGAGTCATACAGAGTTCATCTTTCTGTATCTGGCTTATTTCACTCAACATAATACCCTCAAGGTCTATCCATGTTGTTGTGAATGGGACGGCTTTGTCCTTTTTTATGGCTGAGTAGTATTCCATTGTGTATATATACCACATCTTTATCCAGTCATCAGTTGCTGGGCACTTAGGTTGGTTCCATGACTTGGCTATTGTGAATAATGCTGCAGTGAACATAGGGGTGCATGGAACTTTTGGAATTGCTGATTTCAGGTTCTTAGGATAGATACCCAGTAGAAGGATATCTGGGTCATAAGGTATTTCTATTCTTAACTTTTTGAGGAATCTCCATACTGTTTTCCCTAGTGGCTGCAGCAGTTTGCATTCCCAGCAACAGTGTATGAGGGTTCCCTTTTCTGATTGCTATTTATTTTTAAAGATAAATATCTCTTACATTTCCTGTATCTTGAAAAAAAATAAAGGAGTAATACTTTACATTTATAAAGTAGACTTCTCATTTATTATTTTAACAGATGCTCATACAGAGCAAGTATTATCCTTGTTGGGCTAACTGAAAACTAAGGCTCCGAGAGGATAGATTGTCATCACAATTATATAAGTAGGTGGCAGATGTGGGACACTGTCTGAAGTCTGGATCTTATCAGGTTCCATTTCTGCTCTTTCCTTTAAAAAACAAAATTAGGGAAGACCCTCTCTATACTTACTATATAAGAATTTTCAGGCCTGCTCATTGTAGTTGCTAGTGTAGAGTGCGCTTGTCTTTAAGTGAAAATAGAAGTATACTTCACTATCTGAACTTTCTGTAGTCTAATTCAGGAAATCAGTTTGTAGACTCAGATGCATTTTCACGTATATTCTTTGCTATGCCAACTCTTAATAATTCATCTGTACCCCAAACTCAGAAACCAAATAATTTCAGATAGCAAGAATATTACTAATAGAATACTTGTATTCTAAACTTCCTATCTTATTTTCTAGTCATATCGTGATCTCAAGGAAGTAACTCCTGAAGGGCTCCAGATGGTAAAGAAAAATTTTGAGTGGGTTGCAGAAAGAGTAGAGGTAAATCTTTTGTAGTAAATCCATACTGTGTTCTGTGTTTTTCTCCAAAAAAATCTTGCTTCAAAAAGAGAAGACAGTGAGAGGATGCAGTGCTTTTTTTTTTCCCCCTATGACTTTAAAGAAAGGAGCGCCTTTAAGAAATATATCAGCTGAACTTTCCTCATTGGCTTACTGGAACCCCCTGCTGTTAAGCTGGCCAGGACACTCCTCCCAAATTCCACTGGGGAAATCTGGAATCCTTGTCTCCTCCCTTCCCCTGCTGGAGAAGCTTTACATTTCCTACCCACCTCTCCACTGCTACTCAGAGTTCCATTAGCGTGGGTTTCCATTAGCAGAGTTCAGAATTGGAACTCCATGTAATGTTAAAATGTCACGTTAAGATTTATGGTATTATTATTATTACTAATTTCAATGGAAATTGAATAGGGTTTCTGGTTATCTAAGGGTCATAACCACCTTTTAGAACATTTCCATGGAAACGTGCCTTTTGAATTTCAAGCAACTAACTTAATGAAGATTTGTAACGTGACCTCTGTATTTTGGCTGATTGTGTCTTAAAACCTACATTAAACAGAATATACTAAAAATCTTAGGATGAAATATTTTGTATTACAGCTTCCTGAATATTAATTAGAAGGTTTGAATATTTATCCTTTTTATTATAATAGTAAACATAATTTATCTAATTAAAAATCTTATTCTTGAGGTCTTAATTATGAAGACCACTTTCCTTTACATATAGAGGTTATCTTGAAAAATAACTCCTCTATCATTTTATTCTATTTGTTTCTGTCTTAAATTTGGCCTGTTAAGAAAGAAAATACTCTGTGCAGATACAGTTTTACTATAAACTATAGCTCTGAACTCACTTCTTATGGTACTCATGCTTATATTTATCCATTTTGGTCCTTATCTTCTTTTGCATATCCATGTTTTCTTTTCCAGTTGCTTCTGAGACCAGAAAGTCAGTGCAGAGTTGTAGTATTGATGGGCTCAACTTCTGATCTCGGCCACTGTGAAAAAATCAAGAAGGCTTGTGGAAATTTTGGCATTCCATGTGAACTTCGGGTAACATCTGCCCATAAAGGACCAGATGAAACTCTGAGGATTAAAGCTGAATATGAAGGTAAATGTCAAATAACTAGAGCATTTGAGGAAGTTACCCTGATTTTGCCAAAAAATTTAATGTTTAGACTAATGATGCTGAAAAAGAGCTTTGCCACATTTCCAAGGGAAAAAATGTGGTATTCTAGCCTTTCCTGATACTCGCCTCTAGAGAGTTTAAGGTGCTCTAGGAGCTTATAAAAGATTGGATCAGGGAGAAAGAATTGAAAATTCAAGCATGGACAGAAAATAAAGACTAGAATTAGTCTTTACCTAATAAGAAGCCCTTCGAACATTGTTTCTAACATGCTCCCACAGGAAATAGGCCCCACGTAAACCATGGGAGGCCCCACGTAACCGACCCACATAAACCATGGGAGGCCGAAGCGAAGCAGATCCTCTCAAGTTTCTCTACTGGCCAGCCTTTCCTGGGAAGCAGTCAAACATGAAATTAAGGAATAAGTGCAGAATTTACTATATAAAAGAAATGTCTTGATGGGATAGCATTGGTCTAAAATAATGGTGCCCTGGAGACACAACCAAATGTTTCTCAACTGGAAAAAATGTTGATTGAGTATTCCTTCTAAAGGTACTTGCCACAGAACATAGTTATTAAGATTTTTTGCAAAAGGGGGCAGGTCTCAGACCCCTTTGATAATAAGCTAATAAAAGCCAGAACTCTTTCTCCAGAAAAGTGCAGATACATTAAATTTTGGATTCCACATAAGGAATCCCTGCTGTAGGAAACAAAGGAATAATTTGTAAATTTACCAAAGAATGAAATGTTGAAGAGATATGTTGGGAAATATATTGAAGGGTTTTAAATATTTGGCTACGTTATTAATTTGCCTTCAACTCTTTTTTTCAAGAAGTGCCCCTAAACCTCTAGTATCTGTTAACTGTGTCTCCCTATACCCTGTTGGTTGAAGGACACCGACACAGACACTGGTTCGGGTGGTGTCATTCGTTTCAGTGAGCCTAAGCAGCAATAGTAGAAGGGGCCTTTGAGCCATTCCCTCACTAACATCCTGGTACCTCGTTTAGACTATAGATCTTGAACATGGCCAAACCTATTCTTGCTACTTTATTACTTGACATACAATAAGAGGCAGGGTGAACTTTATATTTTAAATATATATATAGTAATAGCACCTTATTTATGTGTCTTATTTAATAGTGTCGTATTTAAGACATATAATCCCTTTTTTTGTTAAAGCTATCTTTAAATCTTTTTTGAATGTTTAACAATTATAAACTGTAATTTCCCTAGGGGATAGCATTCCCACTGTATTTGTGGCAGTGGCAGGCAGAAGCAATGGTTTAGGACCAGTGATGTCTGCTAACACAGCATATCCAGTTATCAGCTGTCCTCCCCTCACTCCAGACTGGGGAGCTCAGGATGTGTGGTCTTCTCTTCGACTGCCCAGTGGTAAGATATATTGAATTTTTTTTTTTTTTTTTAAGATTTTATTTTTTTCCTTTTTCTTCCCAAAGCCCCCCGGTACATAGTTGTATATTCTTAGTTGTGGGTCCTTCTAGTTGTGGCATGTGGGATGCTGCCTCAGCGTGGTTTGATGAGCTGTGCCATCTCCGCGCCCAGGATTCGAACTAATGAAACCCTGGGCCGCCTGCAGCAGAGCGCAGGAACTTAACCACTCGGCCACGGGGCCAGCCCCAAGATATATTGAATTTTTAAAAATTGTTTATTAAAAAATTTCAAACATACACAATAATAGAGAGAATACAGCAATTAACATCTTGTATCTGTAGCTGCGCTCTCCTGCTGGATTATTTTAAAGCAGATCTTAGACATTATAGCATTTTATACTTAAATATTTAAGTAAGGCTCTTTAAATGATAAAGACTAGTTTTTAAATCATAATCATGATACCATATTCACACGTAAGGAAAATTAATGGTAATATCTTAAAATCATCTAATTTCTAGTTAGTGTTCAAATTTTTCCAGTCATCTCATTTGTTTTTACAGTTGGTTTATTCAAATTAGGATCCAACACAATCTTTGCATTGCATTTAGTTGATATCTCTTAAGTCTCTCTTAATTTCCCTCCTTTTTTCCATTTGTCCTATTTAATTTTCCACATTTTGAATTTGGCCCATTACGTTCCTGGATGTTGTTTAACTTGCTCTTCCATCCCCTATTTTTTCTATAAACTGGTGGTGAGATCTGTAGTTAGATCAAGTTCGGATTTGCTTTTTTCCCCCCAAGAATACATCATTTGTGGTATTGAGATTTTTTTTAAGTGAATTTGATTACTTCTGTAGAGCAAATGAAATTTTATTTTTAAAAATTAGGGACCAGAATAATTAACATATAAGGAAATTTTATCAATCAACTGATTGAGCAGAATCTCAGAATAACAATGTTGTGGTAGGCTCATCATAGTCCAAGATAGTGATCTGATCTGCAAGTCTGGAGAGTCAGTATTGTTTCAGTAAGAGTTGATTTGCTTATTACTTAAATACCAGACTTTTCTCACAGTTTTATAAATCCCCTCTTGATAACTGTTTGAGTCAGTTAAGTATTTGAACCCCCTGATCTGTTCCAGTGTGGACTGGCTTCTCTCTAGGCCTGCTGTGCTGTTGTTGTCTTAAGGTCACCCTTTACCATCATCCCGGATGTTCATTTTGCCTTTCTGTAGTCTTGGATCTCTTGTTTCCTAGGTCCCATGTCTTCTCCTTTTTTCATTTATTCCTTCTTTTGTTGGAGAGCATTCTTAGTGAACTTCCTGAGGAAAGGTTACAAAAGGTAAACTTTTTGAGACCTTGCATATCTAAAAGGTTTTTTTGTAGCCTCACATGTCTTTGGTAATTTGGGAATAGAATTCTAGGTTGAAAATCATTTTCCAGCAGAATTTTGAGGGCATTACTCTATTGTCTTCTAGCTTCTCGAGTTACTGAGAACTCCAGTGCCTTTCCACCATTCTGATTCTAGGTCATTTATGAATTTTATTTCTTTTTGGAAATTTATAGGATCTTTTGTCCATCCATTGTTAAATTTCACAAAAATGTATCTTGATGAGTCAGTTTTCATCCTGGGCTTTCAGTTGGCTCTCTTAATCTGGAACTCTGATTCTTTAGCCCTGGAAAATTTTCTTCAATTACTTAATAATTTCCTTCCCCCTCCATTTTCTCTCTTCTGTTATTTTCAGATTTATTATTCAAATTTGGAACTCCTTGATTTCTATTCTCTTTTCTTTCTCTTATTGCTGTAATTTCTGGACTATTTCTTCAACTTTACATCCAACCCTTCTATTGAGTTTTTCATTTTGTATATGGTATTTTTAATTTCCAAGAGCTCTTTTTTCTTCTCACTTCCCTTCCCCCAACGAAACATTCTTTTCTTGTTTAATCTTTGCAATAAGATATTTGATCTCTTTAAGAGTATTATATATTTTTTCACATTAGTTCTTTTCCTCAACCGTCTGGTAATCCTTGGCTCTTTGCTCTTAAGAGTGGAACACTGTAAAAAACCAGTTAGAAGTTATGTGCAAGTGATGCTGCTTGTCAAAAGTGGGCTTCACTGTGGGGTGATCTGGTGGGGTTGTTGCTTGAATAACCCCTCACATCAGTGTCTTTTGATCTTTTCTCATGTGTTGCTTAGAATTACCCAGAGAACCTTTCTAGTCCCAGTCTCTTACTGGAGGAATAAACCTGGCTGCCAGCATTCTGGAAGCATCTTAACATGTGTGATCGCCTGTTTTCACTGTGGCATTCCTTGTCTTAACTGTGCCTGGTGTTCTCCAGTCCACAGAAGTCTGGACTAAAGTCTGTTTTACCTTCAGAAAAATGTAAACCTGCCTTGGTGCAGAAGGGGCAGTTGCTCAGGCACGTAGACTGGGGAGGGAGATCTGATAGCCTAACTGCTCCTTGACTTTCACTCAGATCTTTGCTTTTTAGCCCCATTTTCATCCCACTCCTCCCTTCAAAGGTATGTGGTGCCACTGATTCCTCAACCTTTGAGTGGGTTTTGTAAAGTCAGTCAGGTTGTTCTTCCTCTTTCCCTGCTTCCAGGCTAGGATTAAATTTTCTTGGTCAGCTAAGTTAGTTACCACTCCATTTGTCTTTCAGCTGCCAAAATGTCATTGCTGTTAACTCTTTGTTGTTATGTTTGTCTGTTTCTTTATTCCCTTTACTGTTGTTTTTATATGATTTCAGGGATACATCTTGTAATTAATCCATCTTTAACTAGACATCTGATTATATCAACTTTTCGAGTTAAAAATCTACCATAGCTGTAAAGGAAGCTATAACCAAGTTTATGCCAGAGGAAGAGTATAGGTATTATCCTTGGAACTTTGAAGAGAAGAATGCGATGAACAAAAATTTGACAGTTTTAATCTAGTACTGTCCAAGGAGAGAGGGAATCTGGAATATTTGTACATTCTAATCATTAGAATTGGGGATAATCTTTCAAGCAACAGTTTTATAGTGGCCTGTGTAAAATCCTGAAAACTCCTTTTCTCTTTCTCTTATAGCATGCTCACTGGATAACCTAGTTTTTTGCTAATTAAGCTTTTTTGGTATCAAAAAGTGAGTCCTGGACAGTAGGCACAGGTATTTCACTTACTGGAGTGGAACACTCTACTTAGTTTACTACTAATAATAATGGTTGACATTCATTGAGTACTTAACTATGTGCCAGGTAATGCTCCTAGCACTTTATCTGTATTAACTCATGGAATCCTCATATAAAGTAGCTACTAGTTGTCATTCTCCCCCCCGCCCCAACCCCTTGTATTTAGGTTATGAGTTTACAACATTGTGAAATTTCAGTTGTATGTTATTATTTGTCAGTCACCTTATAGGTGTGCCCCTTCACCCTTTGTGCCCACCCCCCACCTCCCTTCCCTCTGGAAACCACTAAATAATTCTCTTTGTCCATGTGTTTATCTTTGACATATGAATGAAATCCTAGAGAAATCAAGGTCCATCCATGTTGTTGCAGATGGGGCAATTTTGTCATTTTTTATGGCTGAGTAGTATTCCATTGTATATGTATATACCATATCTTCTTTATCCAATCATTGGTCAGTGGGCACTTAGGTTGCTTCCATGTCTTGGCTATTGTGAATAATGCTGCAGTGAACATAGGGGTGCATAAGTCTCTTTGAATTGCTAATTTCAAGTTCTTTGGATAAGTACCCAGTAGTGGGATGGCTGGGTCATATGGTATTTCTATTTTGAGTTTTTTGAGAAATCTCCATTCTGTCTTCCATAGTGGCTGCACCAGTTTGCATTCCCACCAACAGTGTATGAGGGTTCCCTTTTCTCCACCACCTCTCCAACATTTGTTATTTTTTGTCTGTTATTATAGCCATTCTAATGGGTATACGGTGATATATTAGTGTAGTTTTGATTTCAATTTCCCTGATGATTAGTGATGTTGAACATCTTTTCATGTATCTGTTGGCCATTTGTATATCTTCTTTGGAGAAATGTCAGTTCATATCCTCTGCCCATTTTTTAATCGGGTTGTTTGATTTTTTGTAATTGAGTTGTGTGAGTTCTTTATATATTATGGAGATTAACCGTTTGTCAGATATATGATTTGCAAATATTTTTTCCCAGTTGGTGGGTTGTCTTCATTTCAATCCTGGTTTCCCTTGCCTTGTAGAAGCTCTTTAGTCTGATGAAGTCCCACTTGTTTGTTTTTTCTTTTGTCTCTGTTGTCTGAGAAGACATAGTATTCGGAAAGATCCTTCTAAGACCAATGTCAGAGAGTGTAGAGCCTATATTATCTTCTAGAAGTTTTATGATTTCTACCTTCAGGTCTTTGATCCATTTTGAGTTAATTTTTGTGAATGGCATAAGAGAATGGTCTACTTTCACTCTTTTACATGTGGCTGTCCAGTTTTCCCAACACCATTTATTGAAGAGGCTTTCCTTTCTCCATTGTATGTTCTTAGCTCCTTTGTCAAAGATTAGCTGTTTGTAGATGTGTGGTTTTATTTCTGAGCTTTCAGTTCTGTTCCGTTGATCTGTGTGTCTGTTTTTGTACCAGTGTCATGCTGTTTTGATTACTAAAGCTTTGTAGTATATTTTGAAGTCAGGGATTGTGAGGCCTCCAGCTTTATTCTTTTTATCAGGATTGCTTTAGCAACTCAGGGTCTTTTGTTGCCCCATATGAATTTTAGGATTCTTTATTCTATTTCCGTGAAGAATGTCATTGGGTATCATTCCCCTTTTATAGATAAGGACACTAAAATTAAGTAACTTGACCAATGTCACATAGTAAGTGGTGGAGCTGCATAAATTGACTATTAAGACAAATGAATAAAATGACCTTATGATTTGTATTTAGTCTGTTCTTACTGGGGATAGTGAGAGTCAGAGAGTCTGATGAATTCCAAGCATATTTGAGGAAATGGAGCTTTTGGTATCTGTAAGCTAGTTCATCGTTGACTGTGATGACACAGACATAATAGTACCTCCTCAAGAAACTACATGAGCAAACATGTGGCCTCCAAGGAAGTTACTTTCTTACTCTACTCTCTTTTAGATCTTATTACTATTGAATTTATTTATCGACTGATATTACTTAAAATTATTCTTTGGATTTGACTTTTTTACTACTTAAAAATGTTAGAGGGCTGGCCCCATGGCATAGTGGTTAAGTTTGGTGCACTTCACTTTGGCAGCCTGGGTTCATGGGTTTGCATCCTGAGCACAGACCTGCACCACTCAGCAGCCATGCTGTAGTGGTGACCCACATATAAAATAGAGGAAGACTGGCACAGATGTTAGCTCAGGGCCAGTCTTCCTCAGGAGAAACAAAACAAAACAAACAAAAAATGTTAAAATAGTTCAAGTGCAAAGACAAAAGGAGTAGCTATAAAATTATTAAAACAACATACCTCAAGTTTGTCTAAGAATAGGTGCTTCTACCCACTTACCTTGTCCTTTGTTTTATTTCTATTGCTATTCATAGGGATAGTGTATGTGAAAAGAACTTTGAAAAAGGTAAATTTCTTTGCAAGTGGATTCAGTGAAAAGAGTGATAGATGATGTACATAAAATATCTGTTCATGGAAAATAAATACTACTTATCCTCTAATAATCACTTTACCACTCCAACAGAAAAGATGGAAAACTCCTTCCACAGATTCTACTTTAGACAAGGATAATACAGTAACTTTTACCATTTGTGACTAACAGGACTTCTGTGAATATAAAATAGTTTGCTACGTGCTATTTTCATTACTAATTGATAGCTCAATTTTCTGTTTTCCTTTCTGAACCAATAGGTGTTGGCTGTTCAACCGTACTTTCTCCAGAAGGATCAGCTCAGTTTGCTGCTCAGATATTTGGATTAAACAACCATTTGGTATGGGCCAAACTGCGAGCAAGTATATTGAACACATGGATTTCCTTGAAACAGTCTGACAAGAAAATCAGAGAGGGCAACTTATAGGAAAGAACGTCATTGCATTTCTTAGGAGAAAAACTATAAATTTCTAGTTTAGCTGCAGAAAAAAAATCAAGAAGAAAAGATTTTAAATCAATCAGAGCAAACAAAATTTATTAGTGGGTAAATGTTTCTCTAGATTCATGGGTTAGTAGAATATGTGTACATGTGTATTAATATTTCTTTATAAGCAGTGAAATTATTCCAGTGGTCTAATGGTTAAGATTCGGCTCTCTCACCACCAAGGCTCGGGTACGTTTCCCTGTCAGGGAACCACACCACCCAACTATCAGTTGTCATACTGTGGCAGTTCCATGTTGCTCTGATGCTGAAAGCTATGTCACCAGTATTTCAAATACCAGTAGCGTCACCTATGGTGGACAGGTTTCAACAGAGCTTCCAGACTAAGACAACTCCAGACTTCCAGAGTCGACATAACTAAGAAAGTTAAAGTACCATAAGGACATTTTAAAATTATTCTTTTACCCACTATATGGTCATTTTTAGGTAGGTAACATAATCAAATATATTCAAATACTAATAATGTCCTATTATACAGCTCTAAAGTTACTACTTGACCTTCTGTATCTCAAACTATAAGTTTTAGAAAGTTAAAACATTTGTATCTTAGAAAGGATGGAGGAAAAGTTGAGATTGGTGATAGGGGTAGGGAAGACACACTAAATAAGATGAAGAGGCACTGTGGAAGCCATAGAAAGGGGACTATTTGAAGAACTCTGATGGACGTGAGGGCAATTTCCCTCGGGGAAAAAAAGTACAGTCACCTGTCCAGTTCCAAATGAAAGATTTAGTACATCTTGTATGGTTATGATAAGTGCCTCTGTAGATCATAAAATTCTTTTAGTTCTGATAATACATATTTTAGCCACACTGATAATCCCTAGCCTATCATCATTTTCAGAAATTGGAATCTCCCAGTCGATAACCGTAACTAGTTTCTTTCTTGTAATAGCATAAGTCTGGGCAGTGTACCCAGCAAGATTCATTTCTAAAGGAGCAGTTGTTACTGAGGGATTGACTTACCATCAGTCTATAAACCATATTTGGAAATCACTGTTACATTATGCAGCCTTGAGGATTTTGTAGATCACTAAACTTTAATCCAAGTGTCCATGAACCCTGAAAACTTACGTGTAAAATTTTATGTATATATTCACTTTTACAAAAAGGATCTGTGTCCCCCAAAATGTTAAGAATCTGCTACAGGTGGAATCTCAATAAAATCCTTGCCACTGGTCTACACTGTCTACACTTTTTCACTTCCCTTTCAACCATTAACAAGCTAGCATCTCTTACCACTTCTTTCACTTGATCTCTGTGGGGTATGATTGACCTAACCACTCCTTTGTTGGGCTAGACACCAAGATATTCCAACCCAAATGTTGATCATTTCACTTATATTACTCTTTGCCCTTAAGTATTGATGTTTCCTACTGAGTTTTTCACCAAATTTTGAGTACTTCCATTTTACCAAATAATGGTTGGATGATCTTAATTTCTTCAGCTAAAATTAGCATTACTGACTTTCAGCTCTGTTTCTGTAGACTTGTGTTTTCAACTGTCCATTTCTCTGAATACTCCAAACTTAATCAATCTTGCACCAAGCTTGTAACTCTGACTACAGTGATTGTCCCAAATCATAAGCTTGATTTCATCCTTGATATTTTTCTCTGACCTTTCACATCTAAATCTTCACCAAGTCTTGAATTTCATCTGTTTACTCATCCTGTGTACAAAAGCCTCAAGTTGGAGTCAAATTCTACATTACTAGCCTAATCTAGAAGGTCTTCATTACCAGCCAAACCTTTTTGAAGTTGATTGTCCAAGGACTTTCAACATAAATTCAAAATCTCTTTTGCAACATAGATTCCTTTGAAAAATAAGAATGCCATTGACCCTTTCCCTAGAAAACTGCACACAAAATTTACGAACAGATTCCACTGGTTCTTAGGTTCCCTTGAAGCCTATCCATGGTCCGTAGGTTAAGAATCACTGGTGTTAACCCATCAAGCGAACTTGCTTTCCCCATAATTTTTGGACTGTTAGATATCTGTACCTTTAGTTCTTAGAATGTTCTCATTTCTGTCATTAAAATCTACTTGTTAATTACTAGAGCTTCATCTTCACTGTCTCCATGAAATCTTCCCTAATCACCTCTAGCTACAGTGGCTATAAGTAGTTCTGTTCTGGATTGTAAGCTCCAAGAGGAGAAAATATAATTTTACACTTTATTTCCCTGACACTGCCTTATGTTCTGCTGTGCTATGCCTAGCTATGTGCCAGGGATGGGGGAATTGTAAAAATCATGTACTGCTTAGTTTTCTATATGTTAGTTCACAGGAACAATTAAAAAGATGTGATTTTAATATCTTTAAACTTTGGCTTCATGATCTCTGAATACTCACTGGCTGCTATTTCAGGTCTTCTGTCCCTACCTAGTGAAAATTCCACCTGTTTCTGTGCAGTACATGAAAATTTTCAAACACTGATTTAGACTGGTAGATAGGACTCTTATCAATGGTCATCATCAATTTCACTATTAGTTTCTTATTAGAGTACATATATCCTCAAATAGTGCTAAATACTTGCTTGAGAATATTTTAACTGTGTTGAAAAAGTAACTTACACAAACATACCTAGTTTGCCTTTTTTGGGTATTTATACTTTCTGTGGGATCTTGTAGCTAAACATAAAAAGGGGAAGAAAAATTGTGTCTAAATAATGTGGTACTTAAATTTTGTATCATAAAGCCATGCTTAGAACTGCGGTTGCTTTAATGCCTTCTGAAATTTAAACAGTAGCCAAATAAAAGACACAGATAAGCTCTTGTGTGAAGCTTTATTCATTCATCCATTCATAAGATACATGTTTTGCCTGGTTTTATTCTGGGCCCTAGGAAAGCTGCACTGAACAGAGACAAGGCTCCACCCTCACAAAACTTACATTTTATTGGGGATGACAAACCATAAAAGATAAATCAGATAGATTCAGGAAAGTATACATGCATATGAAGAAGAACCAAGGTGAGAGGACAGTGATGAGGAAAAGAGGAATGGTTTTGAGGAGAGCAGAGCAGTGATGTTAAAGATATGGGGGAACAGCTTTCCAGACTAAGGGAACAGGAAGTAAAACAGTTCACCTTTTTGAGGACCTGCAAACATGCCAGTATTGGTGGAGCTCTTGTGAGCAAGGGTCGGAGTGGAAGGAGATGATGTAAGCAAAGGCCAGATCACTTAGGGCCTGTAGGCCACACTAAAGTGTGACAGGAAAAACCAATAGAAAATTTCAGCAGGGTCATGACATGTAACGTTTTAAAGTTCTCTGGCTATTGTGTGGACAAGAGAAGCAGCAAGGAGATTGGTTAAGAGGCTGTTGTAGGGGCTGGCCCCGTGGCCGAGTGGTTAAGTTCGCGCGCTCCGCTGCAGGCGGCCCAGTGTTTCGTTGGTTCGAATCCTGGGCGCGGACATGACACTGCTCATCAGGCCACGCTGAGGCAGCGTCCCACATGCCACAGCTAGAAGGACCCACAACGAAGAATATACAACTATGTACCGGGGGGCTTTGGGGAGAAAAAGGAAAAAATAAAATCTTTAAAAAAAAAAAAAAAGAGGCTGTTGTAGTCCAGGTGAGGGATGATGTGAACTTCAACAAGTTATTTAAATTTTTGGTGCTTCAACTTCCTTATGTGTAAAATGGGACTAATAGTACCTACCTTCTAAGGTAGTTAAGAGAATTAAATGAGTCAATATACGTAAAGTATCCTTGCACATAAGGCGTTATGTAATATCCATTTGGCAGAGTTAGAGGATGAAATGAGTGGAATAGATTCACCATGAAAAACTGCCTTGAATTTGATATTCCTTTCAGCTGATTTAATTTTGAAAAATGAGGAAAAAGGACAGAGAGCATAATGTGGCTTAAAAGAAGCATGATGTGCCATGGAACATCCACAATCTCTCCCTGCCATCTTCAGTCCAGCAGTCTTTGGAAAGCCAGTGAAAATGCTTACTTTTAATGGTGCTTTTTGCACTTAACTTCCCACAACCTCAAATACTTAGGGTGGAGTTGTTAACCTAGCATTGTGGTGCAGTGAAAACAGCAATGGAATGGAAATGAAAAGACTTCCTTGAGCATATCAGTCTTTGAGCTTCAGTTCTCATTTGTAAATTGGGGCTAAATATTTCTTCTGCCTGCCTCAGAGTGGGTAAAATGACAAGGTGCTGTATATGGAAGCTTCTCAGAAATCATAAATGGCTAAATCCATTCGTGCAAAAATAAGTTTTTGAGTACCTACTATGTGTACGACCCTGGGGATGCAACAATGAACAAGATCCAATTTCTGCCCTCAATGAGTCTGGGAGTCTTTCAGCTGCAGACAATTTCAAACACTATATCATCTTAATATGGAATCAAGTATAAGGGAATTATTCTGAGTAGTATTCTGAGTACACAAAGGAAGAAGGGATCTAAAGAACAAGTGTCTATGTGAGTGAAAAGGATGGACTCTAACTCCTCGCACTCTATCCTCAGTCCCTCTTACCTTTCCTTAATTTTCATAGAATTTATTACCACCATAGTATGTATCTGTTTATTGCCTGTCTCTCCCAACTAGAAAATAAATTCCATGAGTACAGTGGGTTGTCTTTGTTGTTAATTGTATTCCTAGCTAATAGTGTAATGCCTGACACCAGCACATACAAGACACTCAATAAATATTTGCTCAAAGAGTAAATCTGCACATACCCAGAGGTATGACAACATGGAACTACACATAACTAAATATTAGAGGAGTATAACATGCAAGGGGAGTAACAAAAAACCTATGTGGGTTGGAGAGGTGGCAAGCAGAGGCTAGATCATAAAGAACCTTACATGCTAGGCTTTGTAGCTTGGATTTTATCCTGAGGTTAGAAGAGTGGCATTAGATATGTGCTTTGAAAGATCACTCTGGTTTGGAAGGCTCCTGTGTCAAAACTGGCAGATTAAATCCATATATTTATATCCTGTTTGTCACAAAACCCGATTAAAACGCCAGAGGAAATAGAAACATTGGAATCGATAGCAGAGGAATTGTGAGGAATTTCTAGAAGCACCAAAGTATATGGGATCAGACTGATAAAAAAGTCAAAATTGTGAACCCTTAAATAAAGTCAAAAGCACTACTAGGGAAGTGGTTCTTAACCTTTGGTGGAGAGGGAAGGAAGAAGGTGGTATAAATACCTTTGGAGACTGATGGAAGCTACGAAGCCTTTCCTCACAAAATTGACACAAAATTTTGGGTATACCAAATGTCATCTGGAACTCCCTTTACCCTCCTGAAATCTAGGCATAACTGGCTTGAAACCTTTGACAGTTCTACAGCCAGTGAAAAGTCCACAGCTCTTCCCATGATTTTTACTAATTCACAGAGATTATATCCTCCTGAGTTAAGAGTTCGCTTGACCATTAGTGCTGTTTTTGCATTGTACTATACTGACCAGACATGAAATGTGCCAGACACCATAAGACATAACCATGAGCTGGACATACTTTCTGCCCTCAAGGAACTCACAGATGAGAAAAGAAATAAGAAGCAAAACTTTAAGTTAAAAAGTTCAGTACCAACTATGAGCCAGGCAGTGTACTAGACCGTAGGGATACTGCAGTGAGCAAGGAAAATACGGTCCTTGGCTCCATGGAAATTACAGTCCATTTGGAGGGAGGGAGGCCTTAAACAATGATCAGTGTTCAGGAGTACAGAGCTCTATAAGAGAGAGTGATGGGGAACGTCACGTACTCAGCAAGGTCAAAGAAGTAACTTTTAACCTGGAACCAGAAGTTACAGAAATACTGAAGGATGAAAAGGAGTTTGCTAGGTTGCTGGGAAAGAGGAAAGGGAAAGTGGCAAGAGTTGGTAGGATCGTGACAAGATATTAGCCTGCAGAGTAGGTGTTCAATAAACTGTCCTGTCATTCTCATTGAGAATATTCAATAGATATTCTGTTCTGACATTCAAACATCTTGATATTTAAGGTCTTACAAAAACCCTAAACCCCCTATGTCTATGTGTTACTTGAGTGCTTACTATGCCAGGATGCATGAAGAACGTTTTATCCCTAGAACGGTTATATATTATCCCTATTTTACAGGTGGGAAAACTGAGACTCTGATAAGTAACTTGTTCACAGACATCTAGTGAATTGCACAGCCAGGAACTGAACCTGGACATTCTCACTCCAAAACATATTGCCCTTCCGGCCTTATTGCTGACTGCTCCTCAACCGGAGCCCAAAGGGCAGCCAAGGAGTTTCCACCAAAGGTGCTTTGCACTTGGAGATTCTTTTCTTCTTCTGTGCCTTTCCTCATATTCGCTTCTCGGCCGGAACTTTACCTAGAATCAACCCCAAGTTTTCCTCCTCATCTTTCAAGATCCCTTTCAAATGCCAATTCCTCTACGAAGTATTCTCAAGCAGCAATGAGAAGCCGTCTCTCTCTTTCAAATGACTCCCTACGGTTTCTAGTTGCTATTTTACCAGCCCACAGACCTTTTATTTATCTTCCATAGACTGTCGTCCAGCTCCGCCTCGTAGGACTAAGACGCTTGTTTCGCCCGCCGCGGTCGCTCCGGAAACGCACGCCGCTTTGAGCCGAAACGGTGAACCTTCTCAATTCGCTCCCGGGGTCCGACGCCTCGTTCCTGCAGACTGGCTTCAGGACAGGAGTAGCGACTCTATCCACGCAAAGTTCTAGCTACGCAAGCTAAGATTATGGTCTCCAACACTGCTCCGGGATAAGGACGCTTCCAACTTCGAAACAGCAAGCAACCGCCGGCCTCCTCCTCCGCTAGGCCGCCTCCGAGATCCTCTTCCGGGGTAGAGGTCGCCCCGCCCCTCCCGCGTCTCCTCCAAGATGGCGAGCGGCGGCACTGGGGGGGTTTCGGTGCCAGCGCTCTGGAGTGAAGTGAACCGTTACGGCCAGAATGGCGACTTCACGCGCGCTCTCAAGACCGTCAACAAGCGTAAGTGTCGGGACGGGCGCCGGGGCGAGCTCGAGCCGGCGGGAGGATGCGGCCTCCTTCCGGCGTGCGCGACCCCCTCCCAGTAGACGCGGGGAGGAGAGACCCCCGCCCCCCGCAGCTCGGGCGCGAACGCCCGGGGGGCGTAGGTCGCAACCCCTCGGGTCCTCCGGGCCTGCCCGGGGTCCTGGGGCTTAGAGCCACGTGTACTTCCCTCTTTACCCCCCGTGGGAAGCGAGGGACGGATTTAAAGAGACCGCAGCCTGGCGCCTCTTCCAGGAGGTTCTTTACTCCTCTGTTTTCACGCCTTACTTCGCAGATATTCCACATTGCCTCCTCTTCTCCTTGCTTTTAGCGGAGTGTTCAAGATAGTATTGCTGAGGGAGCTTTTTCTCTGGGGCTGCAGCAGGGGGAGGAACCTGCCTGGGACACGTACTTTAGAAGTTGGTGCTGACAAGGTGGAAGCTGTACAGAATCAGGGTGGAGGGAAGGGCTGGATCTGGATGTCAGGCCTCTCATTCCCACAGATAGAATCTCTCCTACGTCATTAGACCCGAACGTGTGTGTGTAAAAGCCCTAACATTTGAAAAAACATCGGAAGAAAAGTTTGGCCTGTGTTTTGCCCCGTAACTGATCATTTCAAGTAAACTGCCTTCCTTCGGTGTGAGGTTTGCTCATTATATTCTTTTATGCTTTATTATGTAACTGTAATATGGCCATGCTTTTTAGTGCTTTCTGTCGTGCTAAGTTCTTCCTTAGTGAAGATGCGGCTTATATTTGTTAGATTTGGAAACATAATTACCGGGACGGAGTTTGGCTGCTCAAAGCAG